GTGGCTGGCACCAGAATCATTGCAGCAGGGTGTGTTCACGTTTAGCAGCGACGTGTGGAGCTTCGGTGAGTGTATGCAAAGACTAAAGCCAAAGAGTGTGTGCAACTAACTGGGCAATAGTTCTGGATAAGTCTGGAATATTGATTTGTAAATGCTGGTCCATGTATGAGCTGCTTGGTTCCTTTCGGAAGAAAGTCATGTCTTAGTGGGCGTATGAGATTGTGGGTGCCAATACCCAATAGTGGAAAGACTGGCGCGAATTTGAGGTATTTTACATAATTATCCCTTTAGATTATTTTGTACAGTTCCTCTTATTGCTTTGTGGATGCTCTTTTGACATGGCAATGCTGTTACCTGGGAGAACAACCCATGAGTCATGTCCTGTAGAGTCACATTGGTGTGGTTGGTGTGGTGTTGGACATTATGCAGGTGTAACCATGTGGGAGATCTTGACTTTAGGGTCAGTGCCCTATGCGGACGAGGCAACGCAAGATCTCGCCAAGCTACTAAGTAGCGGCACTCGTCTGAAGCAGCCGCGCACTTGCACGATCGACATCTACAAGCTTATGTTACAATGTGAGTTCTGCCTGGCGTATACCATGTATATGCTTTTTGTGAACACTGCTATTCGATTTTCTATCTGTGAGAGGCACATGCCAGGTACATTTGCCATAACAGCAACACCAGTGTTCTTTGGCCATCACTTGTAGGCGTATCGTTTTGCCACACATCTGAATATACAAGACAGGTTCGTACACCGGATGGCGTGACTGAATCCAGTTTACCCTTCCTTCCCCTTAGGTTGGTCATTATTTTTGGTGCTCGTAGAAGGCACAGCAAAACATACGTGGTGGTTCTTGGCTGCAGAGACACTCGGGTACTATCTCTGAGGCTGCAATTCTATATCCGTAATAAAATTTGCACTTCTTGTGATGGTTCATGGTTGTTGTGTACCTTTCCTTGCACAATTCTATTTGCAAAAATAGGTTGGATTGGAGAAGCTAGCGGGAGACCGAAATTCCCAGAGCTTCTGGACACTTTGATGCCTATGGCAGAGGATTCTGAGCGTTACATCATTCTGCGACCCGAGGAGGTGAGCACACACTATACTGCTTCTTGATCATGTGACCAATGATGTGATCTTGATAACCAATGATGTGATCTTCACAACCAATGATGTGATCTTCACAACCAATGATGTGATCTTGATAACCAATGATGTGATCTTGATAACCAATGATGTGATTTTCATAACCAATGATGTGATCTTCACAACCAATGATGTGATCTTCACAACCAATGATGTGATCTTGATAACCAATGATGTGATCTTGATAACCAATGATGTGATTTTCATAACCAATGATGTGATCTTCACAACCAATGATGTGATCTTCACAACCGATGATGTAATCTTCACAAGCAATGATGTAATCTTGATAACCAATGATGTGATCTTCACAACCAATGATGTAATCTTCACAACCAATGATGTAATCTTCACAACCAATGATGTAATCTTCACAACCAATGATGTGATCTTGATAACCAATGATGTAATCTTCACAACCAATGATGTGTTCAGAACTCCTGTGCGCACGAAGAGGATTTCAACAGTGCATGCTACACATTTTAGGATGCACTACATGTTGAAACTCCCATGCCAGCCACCCGTGTGAACCTCATGCCTATGTGTATGAATATGTATGTGTGTGTGTGTTGTGGTGTACCCAGTTGGATGAGCTCAATCATCCTCAGCAGCGTCGTCACCGTCGCCGTACCGACCAGAGTACAACGGGAACGCTGATGTCAGTGGACGCGGACGACTGGTTCAGAGATGCGGCGGAAAACTACAACGACGCATACGAGGACATAGACAAGATGCTTGTCGGTGGTAGTGATGGCTTGTATGAAGATCCTGATCAAGTAGCTGTTCCAGTAAGTGGGGGAGCCCAGTTAACAATTTCTAGAATCAGACTCGAAGATTCATTTTGGTAAGGAAAATATTTCTCTCTTGTCTCGATGGAGAAAAGTCAAAGAACAAAGCAGTGAAGCATGCGACCAGCAAATCAAGGTACGAGGGTTGCCATGGCGGATCGCCAGCAATGTAGCCAGTGTACGGCGAAAAGAGATAGTGAGGGAAAACACGAAGGTACAAGGAGACGACTGTAAGCTCAGGTAAATGCGAGAGAGGAGTTGGTGATAATCAAGAATGGAGAAAGGAAGATCAAAGAGAGAGATAGAGAGCGAGAGAGAGAGAGCTAGAGAACGAGGCTGTCTGGTGATCGTATGCAATATCTCACACTCAGTAAAACGTTCTAAACCGGATTGAATGCCGACTAAGTTCTAAAACTAGATTGAACACCGACTCAGTTTACCTTTCAGCTCCGTTTCAAACATCTCACTCAACATTTCTTCAGATTTCGAAACTAATATGGGCAGGTAGGACAAAGCAACAAAATCGTAATATTTGTGGACAACTCTGTACACCACAATGGCCGTTTATTTAATCATACATGTACAGTGCATCCGCCCCCTGCCCCCTGCCCCCTCCCCAACCCTACTCCTTGCAATCTGTATAACACTGGGAACAAACTGTACTTGAGTTACGAAGTCTGAAGAAGATGTTGAACGGTCTCGACTGGGGTGACGACTACACCATAGCTCAGTGGTTAGAGCATCGCTGGCTACAAGCGAGGGTCCCTGGTTCGAGTCCTGGTGGTGACAGTCCATTTTTCTCCAGACTTTTCCCGTTTGTGTCTTTCCCTCAAACCAGTGAACAAACTGTATACCTCTGTTTCTACTGGATCTACTTGCAGGCCGCTGGTGGTCAAGATGAAAATCCGTATGACAACACTACAGCAACAGCAGCAGCAGCGAGCGATTACGACAACGCCCAGGCTAATCCCTATGACAATGCTATTCAGATGGATGTGATTGCCAACGGAAATGCAGTAAGTTGCACCACCATCTGGAGGTTTGAAATTATGTTGCATTTATATTGTATGCGTAGGATTGGGGCATTTGGTAAGTTTCGTTTCAAACTCTAATATTGGTTGATATTTTCTTTGTATCTCCTTGTGTGTCTAGAGTGCAGTGGCTATTCCTGAGGGCTACTCTGACGTAGGAATTGTGCCAGCCGCAGCATTAGCAGCGGCAGCTCATAGTCAAGCTAGTGCGAGACAAAAAGACAAGAGGCAGCTAGAAGACTCCACCACTTTCTCCAATCCAGCCTACATGGGCATGCCAGAAGTTGTTGGCACAGACAAGAGTAAATTTGACGGAACACGATCACCAGTGACACTTGTAGCCGCGGGCAGCTTTTCAGCACCGAAATCCAACCATTTCGAACCTACTCCGGAAGGTTATGAGAATCTCCCACCTGCAGAGAAGCTGAACACAGGTACCGCCGCAGCAGCAGCCGGAGGAGCAATTGGGGCAGGGCCCTATGCGAATATTCCTACAACTGATCGTCATCAACAAGCCACTGCTGCTGCTGCTGCGAGCACTAGAAGACCAGTAGTGGATAGCAGCAGCAATCAGCCCGACGGGTATGAGGACGTTCCCATGGTCGTTACAAACTTCGGCACACCGGCTAATAAAACTACAGCCATGGTTGTTAATAACTACACCACAGCAGCTAATAACACTATACCGAATGCGTACGGAAACATGACGAATGGCGGCGCTGCACCGGATGCACCGGATGGCTATGAAGACATCGGTCCAGTTGCGACGAACACCATTGCTACACCGGATGGGTACGAAGATATTGGCTCAGTTGCTATGAACACTATTCAGCATGTGAAAGCTGCTGCTGCTGCAGCACCAGTTGAATCATCAGAATGGGAGGCAAGTCCTTACAGCGATCCCACTCGCCTTAGCGCTTCGCCGGATAATGACTGGGACAATCCAGCATACGGATCAGCTGCAGCGCCCCCAAAACCATCCAATTAGTGAAACCATTTTCAAGCACTAAGGATTTTCAAATTAGATTCCAATACTTCAATACGTTTCAAATTTCTCAAGTTTATGTTATGATGCTACATAGTCTGTCTGGAGATTAAGTATGATGGCACATATTATTGTAGTATTTTCTGAAAATGAAATTAATAGACGATTTATCATCAATGAATGTACCAGTTTCATTTTCAAGATCATTTCGAAGCTTTTTTTATATTCCTAAATTAGGCCCACTTGAGTTCTCACTAATTCCTAATTAGCAAATATTTACATGGCTGACTAGCCATTTTTGCAATGCCATCTTGCACACTGGTAAATCATGCTACATCTACAGCAATTTAAATTGTTCTTGCGTATGGCACTAACTAGCTCATGGATGTTCCACATTCAGTAGAACACTGCCGATTCTCCGTCCTACAACCGGAGCTGTGAAGATTTCCGTTGGCGCTGACCGCGAGACGTAGCTATGGATGTCACTGATACCCGCTCAGGTCTTGTAGACTTTGGCTGTGCAGCGTCTTGCTGTTGTTTTTGTGCTGCTGGCACTGGCAATGCAGAGTAAGCAGTCAGCAACGAGTCAATCATTGCACCCTGCATGACAACATCGCAAGCAAATACACACACACACACACACACACACACACACAACACACACACAACACACACACAACACACACACAACACACACACAACACACACACAACACACACACAACACACACACAACACACACACACACACACACACACACACACACACACACACACACACACACACACACACACACACACACACACACACACACACACACACACACACACACACACACACACACACACACACACATACACACACACACACACACACACAAAGGCACACACGTGTACATGCACACACACGTGAACACACACATGAACACACACACACACACACACACACGTGGACACACACGTGGACACACACGTGAACACACACACACGTGAACACACACACACACACACATACATGAACACACACACACACACACACCCGTGAACACACACACACACCCGTGAACACACACACCCATGAACACACACACACACACACACACACACCCGTGAACACACACACACACACACACACACACACACGTGAATACACACACGTATACACACACTTCTAGTCTTCTTGCATGTGTGCGTGTTGCACATACTTTACAGGTGACTAGCTACGTGACTCTGTCCAGGGAACCCAAAGATGCGGGTAAAGGGCTTCTCGGCAATTGTGCCATTGGTTGTGAGACTCAACTTATCCCTCATCCGCCACCGTTAGGTGCTGCATCTGCCACTGAATTTACCGGGTGTTAGCGGCCTTCATGAGTTCCCTCGGGAACAGACACGATAATTTATTCTTTCTTTTTTGCATCAAAGCCTGTGATTGAAGAAGCCTGTGATTGAAGAAGATGGCTGGTATTACTCAAGCAAACCCACTCAAACTTAATAGACTAGCTTGTGTACGAGTATCTTGTTTATCTCCACCACTTCACAAAGATATCAACCCCACAATGGTAGAGTCCTGTCATAACTTCCTTTCTCAATCCTCCCTTGTCAAGATGGTGACCAGTGGGTTCCTTACCTCAGAAGTATCACAGAGGAGCTTCATACCAGGGCTACTGCGGAGCATACCGCCAATCGTGAGCAGGAACTGCTCATCGCCAAAAGACCAATTTGAGATCTCACTGTAGTCCCAGTGTGCCAGGATTTCCTTCAAGTCAAAACAACACACAGGATAGTCAAGTCAAAACAACACACAGGATAGACAAGTCAAAACAACACACAGGATAGTCAAGTCAAAACAACACACAGGATAGAGGAAGAAAATGATAGCCGTAAATAATACCATAACCGAGCCTGGGACAAAAAGAGACTACCAGCTGCTTAGACTGAGCAGGACCCTGGAGCTCCGTTGTCAGCTTCCACTATCAACAGGTCAAATACATACCAGAAATGTGCATTTCGTTTTTCAATCAGGTGTCAATTCACTACATAAGATTTTAGAGTTTGTTTCATGACATGCAGATGGGTGTTCATTAACTAAGAGTTTATGATGAGATGGAGGGGTGTTCATGTGATGCAGAAATGTGTACCTTGCTAGTAGCATCCAGCAATGACACGCCATGCTTGTTGACCGCCATGATCACTTGCTCTGGCAATGTGGTGTAGACGGATTGCTGAAAAGCAGAGCACACAAGAGTACCATCAGAGAATGTACATGATTGTCTTCATTTCTAAATAAATTAATAGTTTTGCAACCGAGTTACGGTGCAGGTGACCGCAGTATGTCCGTTCATATTGGTCTTTCCTTAGTGTGCATTCATACAGCCCTCAAGTCAGTCTTACCTTCATTGTGAAGAAAGACGCGCCGAATGTGGGCGCAGATGACAGGCGCTCCAAGAACTTGCGCTCCGCCCAGTGTGTGCTTGCATCCGGCCTTATCTTCTTGCGCTCTTCAGCAATGGACTAGACAACGTACAGATGAGAAAACATCAATCACCTTAGCAGAGAAACCACAAGGAATGGTGTTTTTCGTTCTCTCCTAAAATTGACGACAGAAGCACGTGCATCTATCAGAAATCTGTTTGATATATGCAGAGTATAGATTTAATCAGTGCTAACACTAAGGAGTAGATTTCAAGCAGGCATTGTCTCTACCAAACAGTACTTCCACTCACTGCAAAAGTAGGGCGTTCAGTTCCAGCCCGGGTCACGTCAGGCCAATAATGCAGTCACAACTCGCCTGTACATTTTAAATGGGTCCTGGATGACAGCTCTTTGGCCTGACTTCGAGCCCGCTTCTATCTGATCCCATGCCCAGTACTCCCTTGTCAATGCTATTTTTAGGTAACTGAGGTCATTACCTTTCCATTGATGCCATACATGCCGTGCTTGAACAAAAAAGTGGAACTGCGCAAATCGCAGAGGCATAACGAAGTACTGACCTCGACCAGATGCATACTTGGCCCCGGGAGGAACACCCAAATTTTCGTGTACAGCGGCCTCAAATTAGTCTAAAGCAAGAGGATCCTAGGACATTTTGGCTCATGCTTTTTCGCGGTAGCAGGAAAATGATCACAGAAACCAGCCCACGGTGTTTTCCTGGGGTGGACGAAAAAAAGGAGTGAAAAATTGAAAAAATCGGAAAAAATCAAGTGCGCGCACACTGTAGAAGTGGTGATGGTGAAAACGTGCGAGTTGTGCAAGTAAGCGCACATGGCATGCATGCGCACATCCTGATTGCCATGCACTTCAGTTCGCACCTGCATGTGCGCACAAGGTAGTGTAGTGCTGGACGGAAACCACACCGTCCACATACATACTTGCATGTACTTCTGTGACTGTTTTGGCCCCCCATTTTCCAATTTTCAATCGACTATCTCTAGATTGCCTTGAAATTTTGGGTTCAAATCTTCCCAGGTTGTTTCTCACATCACCCCGGTTTAGCAAAGTAGCGTTTATGCAAAACTCGCAAATTTGATTTATCGAGTGAACTCCTTACATGTGCATTTTGATCTTTTGGTTTGGTCTCTAATCGACAAACTGACTTTTCTCCTCAAATACCTCAACTTCTCTATTTCTATTTCATACATCTGCTCCGTTTATTCCTTACTGTTTTCTTTCTATCTTTTTCTTTTCTTTCCCTTGTCATTTAATCACTGTCACTCACATACAAATACCGTCATAAAATATAAAACACAAGATTTTCTCGTCTTTTTCTATTTCTTGTTTTTCATTAGCTTTAGCATGTTCATTCACATTCTTCATCATTTGTGAGAACTAGACCTGGTCTAGTGAGAAGGCATTCTACTGCCTGTAATTCTGGTGAAGTAAAATAAAGTAACAACAACAACAACAACTCCCTAGCAACAGTAGTAACTCTTGGTAATTGAATGGCCCTGCCTGTGGCATACATGCCCTTTTTTGTCCAGTATCTAAGCCATGCAGTTGATATGCATACCTTTCTCCATTCTCGTAGTGACATCTTTCGTATCATATCCTCTGGCACGAGCTGGTGGAAGATTGAGCTGAATCTATTCAGGGAACAAGAATGTGCACACACCAATGTGGCCACGGAGATATTCCACAAACTAAAGCATGCCTCAGTGAGTCTTCACGAACTCCAGGCGATTGAGCCCTACTGCACTGCAAGGCCACGAGGAGAAATGGTGCAAGAGGGACAGGCCAGTTTATATTAATTACATTCGATGAGTAGTGAAAGGTACTTGTGCGATAGCCACTCACCCAGGCTCATCGAGCGACTTGGGATTCTGGCTGAAGCGAATGTACCAGATCATGATAGCCAGATACACTGCCACTGTATTGGAGACTTTGTGGCAGCCTTGCATATACTTGGCCAGCTCCTAAGAACAAATAAATGGCGTTCCACACAGATGAGCGATCAGTTCTACAGTGCTACTCAATGAAATCCAGTCACGTCACTCAAGTTTGCGCCTTGCATCATTTTGCAGCCCAGTGTTCGCAGGTCTGTGGCTTCACAACGCCCAGTGCGTACTTCAGTGACACGGCTGGATTTCATTGACCAGTACTATAATATCAGCATGCACTCCATCAATGTCCGCATGCGTGGTCAATGGAGAAACTGTACTATGTCACTATGTGAACATTCACTGGAGAAACTGTACTATGTCACTATGTGGACATTCACTACACCAATGAACACGTTTACAGTGTATTCGTGGTCAATGGAAAAGAGAGAGAGAGAGAGAGAGAGAGAGAGAGAGAGAGAGCGCTTCTGCCACCTTTGCCAACGTTTCCCTAGCAATTACCTCATGGTAAGCAGCTTTCAAAACATACCTCACAAGTTCCAAACATATCCTTGGAACTAGGCTTCCTGGAAATCACAATGCAGTGGATTTGTAATACTCATAATTTCTCGTCAAATACCTGTGGAAAGTTGACCCGGTGATCAAGCTGATTGCTCACTCCAATCACATTAGTTATCCACAGCTTACGCACAAACACTAGCTGAGTCTCTGTATTGTGCAACAACAGCAGACACAACATTTACCACATGCATAATACATGTACTGGGGAGAGAAGGACACCAATAGGATGGATGGGCCCTCCTCAACAGTTCTGAGCTTCCTGAAAACACATCCTATTTTACGGAGCTGGTGATCATCTTTGCATTCGGAGTAAGAATCCTGAAATCCCCAAGCCTTGTTCGTGCAGGTTTAATTCACCTTAGGAGGTGATGATATTGCTCTTACCACGCACATGGATTTACACTCATATCTCTGTTATCCGGACCTCCTTGTTATGGGCACCCCGATCTACAGGGCACCCCCTGTGGGCGAGTTTTAGTGGAAATATTACTACTCCTTTGCCAATTTTATGGAAATAGTGACATCACATGCCAGATCTCTGGCCCTCCCCCCCCCCCCCCATTGAAATGTATGTGATTCAAGAGTTGCGGATATTTCAAAGTTATGGGCAGTGCCCGTGGCCGGACCGTCCGGATAAGCGAGATACCAGTGTACAGTATTGTCATCAGTCCCAGGACCAGTGCAGCTTACCGGCAGCTTCAACATCATCCTCCTCCTGCTCTGTGTACTCTTGCAGGGTGTCAAAGATGTATTGCTTTTCTGGGAGGCTGACCAGCACTAGTCATTAAAAAACAAAACCAGAATGGAATAACATTGCGGGCATCCATTACCAAATGACCGTTAACAGTAAATTGTACCACTTCAGTGAGGCATATGGCGTTTGGTCCACCAATACTCTCTTCTTTGTAAATATGATAATTAAAACGTGGGCTTGCTTGGGATGAAGTTTCAGACCGCATCCAAACTGTAGGGTGTCCATCTTCTCCTTTTGAATGTATCGATAAGAGGGTATGCACAGTCTTCAATGGGCATGGATCAGTAGTTCAGGTCCTCTATATTCCCACCCGCTGGATATTTCCATGTGGTTGCTCACCTTCGTCACCTTGCTTCAAGACCACATCAAACTCGTTTCTCTTGACGCTGAAAGCCTGAGACACTTCTTCCACTAGGTTTCGAACTTTGGTGCGAGACGTCACAGCAAATTTCTGCAGTTGGTCAGCAACATTGAAGATGCATTTCACATTACAAGAGCAAAGTGTCTTGAGCTTCGATTTTGCCAACATGTTGCTAATGACAAGAATGACTGGAATGTGACTGGGTTTAGACTACTGCAAACTTTTAAGAAAGACCCAGTGAGCTCCAACCTTCAGCCCGTTGAATATTCCATTCGGAAATTGAGAAATGTTGGACCCTGTTCGCTAGACATGGATGCAATGTAAATCACACAATTGTTTTCCAGGTGGCAAGCACTAGAAAAAAACTCGGATGTCGAGGAGCACTGTTCTTAGCATGTCACCATCACGTTGTTTCTTTACCTAGCATAACTATGGCTATAAGAGTATAGAAATGCAGGACGCTTTACCTTGTGAGACAGATCCGGGAAGTGAACACTACAGTTCATTTCTGCTAGGCCCTCCTACACACAAGACAAAGAAATAGGATATAATGGCATTTACGATGATTCGGACCCTTCTGTACGCTTTGATAAAGCATACACAACACGTATTGGACTAACCCCCGTCTCCACCCCACCCCATCCCTTTTTGCACGCTAAGCCTGGATTCGCGGCAGAAGGCCTGTATCCACAGGCTGGACGCACAGGGATTCCTGCTATCTGCAGAGACCAGCCTCTGTGTCCCCTTGATTGGGCTGGTCACTCAACACAGGTTCACTCTGGATTTAATACGGCACACACTGAGAAACTAGGAGAACACAGCATTACATTTACCTGGGCCGCCATGAGCTCTGTTTGGTGAGGGGAATACTGCCTCGGCGAACCACTGTCAAGCAAAAAAAGAACAGAATAACAGTCAAGAATATATTATAATCTATCCAGATAGTACACTTCCCTCATGGCTTTGCTTCGTCGAGACACTTCTCAAAAGGCTTCACCACGGAAGCAAGAATGTTGCATTACATATACATGACACACTACAGGACCGCTGGAAGCAGTTTTGATTGGTCCGGTCGTATCATGGCCTTTCATACTTTGTGTGTGAAATGGCGGGTACACATGCCGTCCTCAGTAGGACACATGTATTGGTGGCCGAAAGGTTAGTCCGGTAATAACCTGACCACCCGGACCGGTTCTGGCGGGCCTGCACTAGTGTTCTCACAAGTACAATCAAGTGCAAGGCTACAGCAGTGCACTGCATTGGCCATGCCATACAACACTGCATTGGCCATGCCGTACAAAAAGAAAGAGGACACACTATGCACTGCTGCAAGGCTCTACTGACCAACACCATCAGTAGCAACATGGCTAACACCATCAGTGGCAGCATAGCTAACACCATCAGTAGCAGCATAGCCAACACCATCAGTAGCAGCATGGCTAACACCATCAGTAGCAGCATAGCTAACACCATCAGTAGCAGCATGGCTAACACCATCAGTAGCAGCATGGCTAACCATGACCGTACAGGACTTACCGTGTCGCCAGCTGTAGGCGCTGCAAGCATTTCAGTGCAGCCTTGCTGTGTGCTGCACGGCATTTGAGAAACAGGTTGGCCTCCTCAAAGAATTCTTTACTGCAGTGTACCAAAATACACAGAGCATTGCGGATTCGTAGGGGTACACATCTTTTACACGCTGCACTCACACGAAATTGAGCCGTTCATACACTGTTAGCAAACCGAGGTTGTGAGGACCTTGACCATCACTCTGTGGGTATGTACTGTGATGTATGCTGCATCAATCTACGTAGATATGCCACAACTGGAGCAGTTTACACTACAACTACGAGAGTTTGACCATGAACTTTGTCTTGAGGATGAAGCCAAGGCACCAAGCCGCCCAGCCTATCACTTGTCGAGACCAGAGCTAGATGAACAGTACTGCAATCTCAGCTGTCAGAGGGGTCGAAGCATGGGCTCATTGACCCAATTAAGTTGCCGTTCGGCGTCCCTGTGTTCTTTACCTGATGGCAGTTTGCGGATGGTGTGTGACTGCAGGCAGCCGAATAGGTTCACTGTAAAGAATAAGGCGTGCTTGCCAAACATAGATGATGTAGTTTGAACGGGGTAAGGGAGTCGGGTGTTTCTCTAAGCTCGATCTTTGTTCAGGATATAATCAAATACGAATTCAAGATGCCGATGTTCCCAAGACTGCTATCAACACCCCGTTTGGGAATATCAGTTTAGAGTGATGGAGTTTGGTCTGACAAATGCTCCCGCCACGTTCCAGTCTCTCATTATTCTATCCTCCAGTCCTTCCTGCAAAAGTGTGTTGTAGTGTTTCTGGATATCCTGATTTTTAGTAACTCACGGAAGGAACATACATCTGAGGGACGTATTACAGACATCACGTGAGAATGAACTCTATTGAGTCCTCGAAATGTGAGTTCGGCCTACAAGAAGTTCTGTACCCATGCGACCGTATCCACCGTATTCACAGGTTCTCAATTGCGTCAGACCGGGACAGGATCGAAGTGGTGAGATGTCTGACCACCTCCTACACCAGTTATGCAGGTTAGACAATTCCTTGGCTTTGCCAATTATTTCAGAAGATTCATTGATAAGTACTTGTTTGTTTCAGCACCTCTGGAGGAAATAACGGGAAAGCATGCACGGTTTGAACGGTCAGATGGTCGTGAAGCATCTTTTGAGTCCTTGAAGTCTGCGCTGGTGAGTGCCCCCATCTTTGCTCTCGCAGATGTTGACCAGCCAATCAGGGTGGAATCTGATGTTAGTGATTTTGAAGTTGCAGCAGTTACAAGCTGATACTGGGCACCCAGTTGCATACTCTAGCCGAAAGCAGTCACCAAGTGAAAAGGAATTATACTGCTGCTGAATATGAGACTCTAGCTGTTGAGTTCGCATTAAAATGCTGGCGTTTGAACGTATTCAAACACTTTGACGTGATAACTAGTAAGATGGGCGGTTGTGTACGTACCTAAAAACTTACACCTAAAAACTAAGCAGACCTTGAAAAATGGCCGGGAGGCTCCCTAGGCTGAGTTCTTGGCGTACTTCAACTGAACTGTGCACCATAGGCTAGGTTCACGGAACCTAGCTGACTCTCTGTCAAGACGTCCTGATCTCCAAGATCATGATGCTGTTGCCCAGTCGCACGTATTTGCTATTGAGTATGTTTTTGAAAGGATTGGGATAACTTCAAATTCAAAGGATCAGTCGGGGAAGTGAACTGCCTGAAAAGGGAAAAAAATTGCCAGACCCACCAGGACTCGAACCCAGGACCTTGCTTGTCATGAGCAATGCTCTAACCACTGAGCTATGGGACCAGGCTGAACCCAGAAGGCGCTGACAAGTATTTCACTCCAAAGGCGGCTCACAACACGTGCCACACATACTGATGGCACTGGGGTCTTTTCCCTCCCCCAGGGTACCAACAACCACAGTCAGTTTCTGGAACGTACTACCAGAGGTGAAAGAAAGTGATTAATTAAATTTCTTTCGTGAAATATTTGACAGTTTAGGAGCAAAGATATCTTTTATCACCTCCAGACAGATGGTTTATCTTTAGTAAAAACCACACTGGAGTATAAGCCGCACCCCCCCCCCCCCGCCCCATCTTTTGCCACGAAAACCGACATCTATCCTATTTATATAGCGATAAATAATAATATAAAAAAATAACCGAAAATAACGAAAATAACGAAAACCGACATCTATCCTCGCTATATAGCGATGAACAATGTTAATTGCGCGGCCATATCAAAAAATTTCAACCTAAGTAGTTATTTGTCCAGAACGTTTTCTTGTCATAATCATCAGTGGCATATCGTGACTAATGGGAAAATAGAGAACAACCTAAGGATATATACTTCTCCAGGCCGCCTATTTATCCTATTTATCAAAGTTAATTTGATCATCGGAGTATATGCCGTACCCCCTTCTTGGGGGTGAGTTTTGAGTGTTCAAAGTGCGGCTTAAACTCCGGAAAATACGGTGATGTTTCTAAAAGAATTGTTGGCCTTTCAGTAAACAAATTGGTCATTTACAGTCCCCAGAGTGAAAAAAAGTATAATCATTATGATGTAAAGCACACAATAGGAGTTGATGATTTGCAGAGGTAGGTTCCTGCCTGATCACAATTTACCTGCACGCAAAAAGACCTGTCGCCATCCAGAGTAGCTGCCAGACACGATCTCGACTCTCTCTACATAAAGAACGACACCAATTGAAGGAAGAAAGGAAGAAGGGAAAAGGAACGATGATAGGCATGTATGCTGCGCACCTGACAGATTTACAGTGTGAAAGAAGAATCAGGTCTGCAGTTTCCCCATTCGACCAGCTTCACAAGAACAAAGGGGTCCAAGGAAGGACGACAATTTCACATCAAGTTTCTAAAGATAATCTTCTCGGTGAAAAAAACTGACACACAGGTTCTGAAGTATATGTAAGGGGTGGTGTAAAATCTGGCTCGCAGGAAAAGTCTCACAATTAAGCACCAGTGCATTTAAGGGATACAGACACCACGCATTTTCTGAAAGCATGGTTTAGTGACACACCATTGGAAAGGTATGGTTTTCAGCTACATGCTTGGCAAGTTAAAGTATCCTAGGGCCAAGAATGCCCTCACAATGCCGCCCGTGATGATCCATTTTTAAATGTAAATGGGTTTATTAGTTTAAAGAAGTCTTCAGTTGCACTCACGATGCAGGATTCGATGTCAGTTGCTTGAAAAGTTGGCAATAGAGCTCATCTCGAAGACTTGTCTGTGATTTGGAATGGAGATAAGTTTAGACAGCATATCTTCACTTATTATTCCTGATCTTCACTAGCCAGAATTTTAAAAATGTATTGTGATCAGGCACACTGCACAGTGTCTATTCCTATGTTAGGATCAATTCTTAGAGGTTATTATAATTAGGGCTGAAACGATTATGTCGATAACTCGGATATCGATCGTTATGGGCGAAATCGATAATCGTTAGCAATCTCTGACGATTATTGTATGCAAGTGTACGCACTACATGCACGGGGTTCAAGATCGGAGTGCAGTGTCCGATCGATCCGAGTCTATCTGCATGCAGCACGCGTACACACGATCTGCATGCACTTTTACCAAAGTCTTGTACTCGGGTGCAAACTCTGGCAGCGAAGTGAGACAGTACACCTGGTACACGCGGGAACGCGGACCGCGACTGTACTGCACAACACACAATCATTACTGTACTGCATGCAGCGCAGTCCGGAAGTGTTGCAACTAACGTAACGACGTACTTACTTGCCGCTGTTCTTGCAACATGGGCGAAATGTGTGCTGATCGGTTCGTTGCATGCAGCAATGGCGATCGGCTTTTGTTCTTGGTGTTTTGCTACACCAGTCGTCAGTTGTTGGAGTGAGCTCACAGAGAAGTTGGAGAGTGTTTCGTTTTACGTTTGGAAGATGTCGATGATCAGAGCTGCGAAAGTAAGCCGCGTAAAAAGGTCTCCAGTGTGGGCCTATTTTGATGATATAGGACGGACCGCTCGTTGTAAACTGTGTAGTCGTGAGTTTGTCCGCCAGAGCGGAACGACGAATTTGTTTGCCCACTTGAGCTCTGCTCACAAGGAGCAACATGCGGCTGCTGTTGGTGGAAAGCCACCAGTTTCCGCTGAGAACAAGCGGATCGATGTTCAAACGTGTGCTGATACGAAGCCGATCTCTAACTTCTTTGGCGGTGCGGCCAATATGCGAACGTGCAACTCCAGTCGTGCGGGACATCTCACGGAACTGGTTATCGACTGGATAGTTGACTCGACGAGGCCCTTCTCCATTGTCACTGACCCAGGATTCATCGAGCTATTGAAGGTGCTCGAACCAGAGTTCAAGGTGCCTTCACGAACGCACTTCAGTAGTCTCATCCTGAAGCGCCACAGAACGTGTATGGATGAAATGAAGTCGTTGCTTGCGGAGGAGGGAGATGCTGGAGTAGCCTTGACTACTGATGGCTGGTCATCAACAGCTACTCAGTCGTTTGTGACGCACACCGTCCATTTTATTAATCGTCAGTGGGAAGTGGTGAGTGGCGTCCTGGAAACCAGTGTGTTTTCCGGCAGCCACACTGCTGTTAAGCTGGCGAATTATAGTGAGGAGGTGTGCCGCCGGTTTGATCTGGACAACGTCGTGGCTGTGACGCATGATGAGGCAGCGAACATGGCTTCTGCTGGTAGGTTGCTGCAGGACAGCAACGACTGGATTTCGTGCATCTGCATGGCACACCGTCTGCAGACAGTTGTTCGTCATGCCCTGGCCATCAAGGATGTCGCCAAGCTTCTGGCCAGAAGCCGTAAACTTGTTGGGCACTTCAAGCATTCTTGCCTTGCTGCTGAGGCACTGTCGACCAAGCAGAAGCAGCTGAAGCCAGAACAACAGCCACTGAAGGTTGTACAAGATGTTTCCACTCGGTGGAACTCCACGTTTTATATGTTGGAGCGTCTAGTGAAGCTTCGCGTCAGCCTCACTGCTGTGCTCTGTGATGAGCAGATCACTCCGAAACGCGACGACCGCGATATGCTCCTCAGGGACACCGAGTGGTCTTTGGCAGAACATCTGATCGACCTGCTTGGACCGTTCGAGATTGCCACAACAGCTGTCGGTGCCCAACGCTATGTGACGATGTCTCTGCAACTTCCTATTGCAGCACAGTTGTTTATGGAGGTGTCCGCTTCAGACACCGGATTGCCCAGAGCTGCCAAGAATGTGGCCAAGAAGTTGAAGACGGAAATGGTGCGCAAGTTTTCGGAGGTTGCGTCACCATCGCCAACCTCAACTTTCACCTTGGCCTCCGCGCTCGACCCTAGGTTCCGGCAGTTGAGTTTCCTGGACACGGAGAAATCCGCAGCAGCGCAGAAGGTTATCCTCGACAAGCTGAAGGCACAGCAGCCAACAACCAATGTCGAGCCTCCTGCAAAACGAGCGAAGCCGTCAGGTAGCTTGAGCCAGTTATTCAAGTCTCGGCGGCAGGAAGCACCAGCTAACACCACCGGTCCACCCTCCTCTGCACAGCTGCAGAGAGAAGTGGACATGTACTTCGAGGAAGCCGAAGTTGACGTGGAGGCGGATCCACTAGTGTGGTGGAAACTCAATTCCTCACGGTTTCCCAACATCGCTGGTCTGGCGCGGAGATTCCTGTGTATACCTGGCACCTCCGTTCCATCGGAACGCGTATTCTCCGCTGCCGGATTACTCGTGTCCAAGCTCAGGAATGGACTGTGTGCCAAGCATGTGGACGCATCCATCTTCCTTGGACGAAACAAGATGCTCCCGAGTGCGCGGCACAGCACCAATGGCTCTACTGACACAGCTTCCAAGTCGCTGCAGGAAGCTCTTGCCGCTGAAGAAGAAGAAGAGGACGAGCTTGCAATGCCACCCTGTTCGATCCTTGTTCCGGTGCCAGTGAGTGACGAGGAGGATGCCGACGACAGCAGCAGCAGCGATGTCTGCATTGAATCTGATGACGACTGCTGAGCTTTTAATGTGCAAACAGTAGTCATGCAGCACTATGCACATATCACACTTGAGAATCTATGAACTGCGAGCTGTACTGTGTAATGTATATACCACAGAGAAAATATAAAAAATAACAATACTGCTCGTTTCAACTTTCAGTTGTTTGGGTTGTTTTGAGTTATCACTTGAAGTACAATGTGCATTTGGCTATTTGCTGGTGCTTAGTATACCCGAGTTGATATTTAAAGGATTTTTGATGATTTTTGACTATCGAGAACGAAATTTCAAATTTGCTATAATGTGCTTGAAAAACGGAAAACTAGGGATGTTCTGCTCTACGTTTTGGGAACGCGACGCAAAGAATCACGCGAACTTTCTTCGCGTTCCCGTAACGTAAAGAAATGCTGTTCTGCTCTACGTTTCACCTAGAGAAGTCACGTGGAATGTGTACTGGGAATTTCCCCTTCCACATTTGGCAGTTTTCTGCATGCAGTTGATCGACACCCAGCAAATCCGTACGCATTTTCTCTGCGTGTGCCACAACGTAGAGAACCCCATCTCCGCGTAGAAATCTGGAGCCAAAACACGCGAAGCCGTAGACTCTAACCCAGACACCTGCTCTCTACGTGATTTCTCTACGTTTCACGTATAGCAGAACCTCCCTAGTATCGATAAAACCAATAAATCGATCGTTAGCGTTATTGGTTAATCGTTAAGAGTTAATGAATGATCGTTTCAGCCCTAATTATAATGATTGTGTCGATTTAGCTATTGTATTCACTCTTCGTATTCTCAGCAGTTTAGTAGAAAATAAGCAGTGGTCATTCAACAAGCTGGGCATCGACCTCTCCAAGGCCTTTGACACTCCGCATAGAAACAGCCTGCTTGAATCAATCCTCACTGCAGCGCCTGGCGTACCTGATGCTCGAGCCATGGTCTCAACGCTGCTTGTAGACACAACGCTCAGTGTTCGAGTATGCGGACAGACTGCAGACGCCTTTCAATCTGGCATTGGCACACCACAGGGAGATTGCCTGAGCCCTGTCCTGTTTACGTGCTACTTTGAACATGTTCTGCAGCAGCTGAGACATCAGTTCCGAAGAGAAAGTACAGGCCTAGCACCGTCTATCCCTGAACTTCAGTACGCAGATGATCTTGACTTCCTCGATGAAAATGACCAAAATCTTAAACAAACCCATGACGTATGCGTGCTGAAGATGCCGGAACACCAATTGATGGTCAACGGCGCGAAAACTGAACGGACCCACTTCTACCTCGATGCAGACCTGGAAAAAAGAGGGAAAGAAGAATGGCGGATGGCAAAGTCGGTTGGATCGAGAGCTGGTACTGCCGAGGACATCAAACACCGAATGGTTCTGGCATCGCAGTCATTTGGCCGGATGCAAAGCCTTCTACAGTCATCAGGGATCTCCCTAACGTTGAAGCTGAGGCTGTACAATTGCTACGTTCTAAGCATTTTGCTTTACAACTGCGCTACCTGGGGCCTCACTGAGGCACTCAGAACGTCTCTGGACGTTTGCCACCGCCGTCACCTCCGCTCGCTACTCCGTATAAAGTATCCAAATATAATCAAAAACACGGAACTCTACAACCGCTGTCGCACCCAACCCATCTCCAAGGAGATCGCGGCGAGGCGATGGAGCTTCCTGGGGCATGTGCTCCGGATGCCATCAGGGGCACCGCCACAGGTCGCTCTCGATTTTGCTGCTTCTGGTGCCTTGCGGGGAAGGATAGGCAGACCAAGAACAACACTGCTAACCACTCTCTCACTGGATTGTCGGGAGAAGCTGGGGCTTGTGCTTCTGTCGCGACCTGGCCTAGCCCAGCTTCGGAAGGTGGCGTATGATAAATGCCGATGGAATTCATTGCGAAACAGCACTGTTAATTAGCCTGGCCATAATAATACGATTACATCTGACATGCTTACCTGCCTACTTGTGCGCACGCATGCATTCTTGCCGGAGATGTCTACCTGTGGCGACAATGATTTTTTCATGGACTGATCTTCTTTTTTAGTGTTTGCACACTCTTGGCTGCTGCTGCTGTGGCGCTTTTGTATTTACATGCTGCTGCGCTCTGTACGGCTGCACTAGCCGTGTTAACTGTCGTACCCAGATGCACACATTCAATCCCTGGCTATGCTTTGGAATTGTTTTCGTTGCCTATGTCCTCATCTCTCTTCGTTTTGTTTTCGCTGCCTGGGCTCTCATTTATCTTTGCGTGCTTGCTTGCTTGTATTGCTGAGGGAACATATGCTGGTTTGTATTCGTGGGTCCCCATGGTGCATGGGCCACGCGTACTCATCCGGCGGATATGTGTGAATAATAATAATAATAGCATAAGCAAAGTGGGTTTGCATAGGACTATGGGGTGAAGGCATGGCAAAATATATCGAAAAGAACTGGTTTCCACAAGTTTCAGGGAGATTGCAAACTAGATACTTGCCCTCTGCTTTAAAGGGGAAGTTAAGGCAAAAATTAAAATTTCACCAGTTGTAGTCTTCGGGGTGCTGAGTCGAATGGTCTTGGTCCGAGGAAGCTGAGACGCTCCCTTCCTACTTGAATCCCAATCGAACTCGCGCACTTCCATCGAAACTGGGTGACTGCGCCCTACGAGATGGGGATTTGTATGCAAAATGTCACTAAAAGCGCCATTTCGTTCTTATAAAAGCACGGATGACCGCGATTGGCCCATATGTTGTAGTCTTTTGGACGCTGAGTCGACTGGTTTTGGTCCGAAAAGGCTGCGATGCAGCGTTCCTCCTTTATTCCCAATCGAACATGGTTGAACAAGTGGTCACGTGCTCCTGGGTGCCCAAATCACCTGGTCACCACGCCAGCAGGTGACAACTTTCACACCAAGGGTCAACTCGAGTGACAGGACTGCACCCAAAAAAGGTCAAACAGGCTAGTAAGTTGTACCCTGCAGGCACGGTGACCAGGTGACTGGCGTACGCAGGAGCACGTGACCGCTTGTTCAACCATGTTCGATTGGGAATAAAGGCGGAACGCTGCATCGCAGCCTTTTCGGACCAAAACCAGTCGACTCAGCGTCCAAAAGACTACAACATATGGGTCAATCGCGGTCATCCGTGCTTTTATAAGAACGAAATGGCGCTTTTAGTGACATTTTGCATACAAATCCCCATCTCGTAGGGCGCAGTCACCCAGTTTCGGTGGAAGTGCGCGAGTTCGATTGGGATTCAAGTAGGAAGGGAGCGTCTCAGCTTCCTCGGACCACGACCATTCGACTCAGCACCCCGAAGACTACAACTGGTGAAATTTTAATTTTTGCCTTAACTTCCCCTTTAACCATAATCTCCATTCAACCAACACTGCACCAAAGCAGAAATCTCCACTTCAGCCATTGGCAATAATCAGTCTCTTACGTTGTGACCAGTGGCCAGCATCAGGATATAGACTACTTATTTTTGGCCAAGGACCGAAGTGTTTTTGAGATTTCCAAACCAGTTTCTGATATGTTGAGGGTAAGTCGGGTATGACATTGAGGCTACAATAGTTACAGGAGTTGCTTGTGTCTTAGTTTCAAAGAGTTGTAAAGGAAAGGGGAAAGGAGTCCTAGCAGAAGTATTCACCACAGAAATATGTTCCCGTATTAGGACTGGATAGACACCGCAACATTTCAAGTCGTACTGCATGCAGAAGCAAAAACAACTACAGTTCTGAACCATCGTAACTCACGTATTCCAGAGGACTCTTGAAGACCCGCTGTACAACGATGGTGGAGTTGTGGCTGACCTGCGTAGGGTACTCACCACAGTATTTCAGTATGCCTGGTGCAGTGCAGTGCAGTGCAGTGCAGTGCAGTGCAGTGCAGTGCAGTGTAGCGTGCCAAAAGTTAAGGCAAAACACAATACGAGAAGAGCTCTGAATGCATTCTTCTACGATGCACATCATTTTCAGGACTACGGGGAATGCATATCAATTTTTCGCAATGTAACAATCAACAACCGTATTGACGATGACGACAAAAACAACACTGGTCCAGCGCAGGTGCAAGCGTATCATCGATTGGTATTCCAAGCAATGGTATTAATGAAAAGGATACTTGTGAACATGTTGAGAGCTTTGCGTGAAAGACTCGGATCCGACCGGAGATGAAACAGCAGTGGCCACTTCAGCTCAGCCTAGAAAGACAGGAATCATGGATTGGACACAGCATATAGCCATAGGCTAGCAGTTGGCAGTGTTCCCTGAAACCTAACCAAGACGTTGCGCAGCATAACCAGGGCCGTAACCACAGTGGTGTACACATAGCACTCTTTCTTGGGTGCACCATGTCACTTTCCACTCCATATTATCCTCTGTATACTTTGTCCCATTTTTATCAACCTCTTTTTTAATACTGATGAGTGTATGGTTCTGTGAAGTAAGAGTCCCATGGTCCATGGAGCATTGTATCTCTATCAACACAGTCACCATTGTCTTCCACAATACCTTTTAAAGTTTAAGTTAAAGGTGTTCTTTTCACAATGACTACAAGGATAGCAGCCAAGACACAAATTGGCCCAAATACGAATACCTTTGAGTACTGCCAGGTGGATGGATGAACAATGGATTTGACACCATCACCAGCTGGTACGAAATGCCGTGTGGCATACAGTTTGAGGGTATACAGTGTTGCCGCCGTGGACTCCCTTTCCGTGTGCTTCGCCGTAGACTGCTTGCGTGATCTCATTGATGTTGAAGAGGACATGGCTCGGGCTCGAGATTGCATCGACTGTGAGCGACTGCGATGGACTACCATCGCTGAGAAATGCTGGTGAGCAGTCGCGTTGAGTGATGTCAGCTGTGCCTATATGTGGAGAAGAGAGCAACGGTACAATGAAGTAACTTTACCCTTCTAGCAGTTATTTATGCATATCGGACATGCACAAACAGTCCCAAACAGTCCCATCCTGTTCTTGATCTAGCTACTTATAAGAGCTTTTGTACTTGTCATATGCTCCCTAGAATTCAGAAAACTGATATAGGATGAGTGCACAATGACAGGCTGAGTTGGAAGTAGGGCCTCCCATGAAACCTTAGCAAATAAATCCATCACCCTGCCAGTATTAACCTGCAAAACTCGGGAAGCAATCCCGGGGAGGTCATTCTCTGTAGGAGCCGCACAGTCCTACGCAAATGTGAAGATGAAGGTAAGGTGGAAGGTCTTTTGTTATGCTGATATGAAATCCGGTGACCTTCTGGACTGGTTTGATAGTTAAGTTTCTTTCCATTTTTTGTTTACTCTCCGTTTGGTGGCAAATATTTCCTGTCATTTCCAAGATGGAACATAAAACTGCTCATTACAGCCTACGGTACCCATTGCTCTCACCTTGAAATCCTGATCAGGCTCTCGTGTGATCGGTAGGATGGATAGGCAACTAACAGGCACATCACCAGTCTCCGAAGTTCTCAAATTCACCACGGTCACAAACTCCTCATCAGTGTCTTTCAGCTCAGCGTAGCACTTGTCCAGTACCAGCACATCACCAATTTGCACTGCCAGCCAGCTCTCATCTGTTTGAACAGCAGGGGAAATCAGAACAGTACCAGCCTCGTGGACAAGATTTTTTAAACTTCAGACAACAGTGAATATACTACATGTATATGAAAAATGTACGCATCACGTGTCCACACTGCTTCTTCATTGCCTTAGCTGCAATGCAAGCCAGGCCCGTTGCAATCATAAAGTATAAATTTCATGCTTATTTCATGCTGGAGAATTCCGGATTTGAAACTGACCTTCCTTTGATGGTGTCTGAATGACGGTTGCAAAGTGTGATCGATGCCGTAAGTCAGTCAGCAACTCGTTCACCAGTTTGCTAACGCCTTCGGCTTTTGCAGCAGTCACGTACATCATATCGCCGTCAAGTGTGACTAGCTGTATGGTTGGCGACCCACCCACCACCGTTCTGTGACGTACAGGAAGAAATCATATTTAGACAGTGCTCCAACAAAGCATAAATTGTATCACCATGTAACAGCAAGACTACAGACCAGTATAATACAATTTGCCGCAACGTTGATGCATGCCACGCGATGCACATCGTAATTATATTATGCATGAAGTGGACACTCTAGATTACCTAGGGTGCACGTGGTTCTTTTGTGGCCTCAAATCGGCACCTCTTGTCAGCAAGATCTGCTTCTAGTTCCTGTAGTCATTTCTGCCACTTTCTTCTCATACACACTTTGCACCGGTGTCTTTATCCTCACTGGTCTTCCGGTAGATTGTACACTTTTCTATCCAAATGCTGCTCGTGGCAGAATTTTATTTCAGGCCGCTCGCTTTGTGAAAACACTCGTTTCAGCAAATGTCAACTTAAGTGTCTCTGTATTGGGTGTGACTTACCAAGTGAATCCTTCCAGGAGAACCACCGGGTTCTCCGCATGTGGTTCCTATTGCTATACAATATTTCTTCATGTCACTTACCTCGTCATACTGATGTTGACAAGCTGGTCATAAGGAATTGTGAGCAGCATGTTCTTCTCCTGCTTCCTTGCCACATCCGGTCGGTCATCTGGATTTCCACAGGCTGTAGGTGCTGGTTTGTGCAGCAAGCTAACACCTTGGTAGTGAACAGCCAGTGACAATGTTCCACCTTCCTCTTCCAGTTTTAGGCCTGTGACCTTTTCCACTGAGTACTCGTAGCTGAACGGCAAGATCCAGTTGATTTTGGCATAGTCCACCACATCCTGCTTGATCTCCTCGAGGTCACTGCCCGCCAAATCAAGACCACCCTGCATCACCAGAGATGAAGAAAGATTGATTCCCAGCCTGCCTAAATTGTTCTGTTTTCGCCAGGGTGGATAACAAACAGTTCCCACTGCATAAAAAGAGGTCACTCAATTCCATAACATCAGGACTGACACCAACTCGGATATGATCATGGGCAATTGTAGTGATGGTTTGCTTTCCATAGGATACCATGTGCTGTCAGCAATCTAATTTATGTGCCAACCTTTCTAAGAAAGTTGGTTGCTCCCAACACTGGAGCTCGCGCTTGACTTTACACTTGACTGAATCACGACTGCCGTCCAGAGCACGCGAGAAGTCCTTCGAAGTCCATCGAGCGCGAGCTCCAGTGTTAGTAACAATCTCCGAAGTCGCTACCATTATTTCGTATCAACCATTATCAGCTTTCAAAACTTGATCAAATAAAGACCACTCTTCTCTCCAACCTTGGCCTGCGTTGCCTTGACAAGAGCTGCCCACTTGCGATCCGTTCTTCTTTCCAGCTCAGCCTCAGGCAGTATGTCCCTCAGAGCCTCCACCAGCTTCTTTGTGTTCACTTGATCACCGTTGTAGCGGATGAAGCACTCTTGAGCCAGCAGCACAATTAGCTCTTCATCCTGGAGAAAGAGGGATTCAGACAAAACTCTTTGGTTTAGACGATGTGCACATGGTTGGGTGTAGGCCGGTGGGTACAGTTAGAGTAAGAAGCAACGCCAGCAATCACTTACGGACTGGTACTGATGATTTCCAGTCTTGATGCCATGGATAACTTGATGGTAGACTAGGTCTGTACTCTCCCTGTCAGCAGTGCAGTCGTGCCATGGTGGAAAGAATGTGCGGACAAGCACCAGTGAGCAGGCGTTGAGCGCGCTGGTGGACTGTTTCTGCTGTCGTGAAGCTTGTTGATGTTTGTCGTTAGCTGCCAGAGTCGTGACGTCACAGCCTTTCAGTTGGGACGTGTATTGTTCACACGCAGATACAGTATCCATCACTGGATAATCTCCAGCACCGATGTTGATCACCTAATCCAAAGGAAAACAGAATCAAATACATCACTTCTATACTTTTCTTCTTTAACTAGATGGAGCCCAGTTAGTAACTTAGTGCTGGCATTTTCTTATTATCTGCTTGTATGCGAGTGTGTAACTGCTAACATTAAGCTATAACACTGAAAGAAAATGAGGACGTCACTGTAGGTTCCTTTGTAATAACTTCAAAGCATAGGGCCACACATCAGAGAGTACTGTGGATCAGTGTATACAGGAATGCACCACCCCACTTCCATCCAATATGCCACCGCCCCGCTGTGCAGCATCTGATGGTTCTGTGGTATTAAGTAAAAAAATTTAACAACAAAAACATGACTGACCGTTTCACCCATTTCCACGGCCAGTGCATATCCTTGCCGGTCCTTCAGCTTCAGGCCGTTCAGCACCTCCTTGCAAAGTTCGCCAGCACTGGTTGCTGGATCTATCATGACCGTAATGCACCGGCCATCTGCAAGTCGAACAATCACTGGCAGTTGAGCAGCACCAATCTTGGCAGCCTAAATTCAGGGCAAAGGAGCATAGTGTGCCGGTTATTCAGTCGTTTAGAAAGCATTAGATAGCATAATGGGCGAGGCCAAGTATTACAATTCATAAATCCATCTTGCTGAGCAAGATGGATTTATGAATTGTATTCTTTCTCTTACCTGCAGTTCTAAGAATGACGGTGGCCATTGGCGGTCAGCATTTTTGTAGGTTCTCTGTAATCGCTTGTCCAGCAACGGTGCATAGGACTTGGGACCAGTGAGTACAAAATTCCTGAAATAGTTGATCATCTGTAGCATCGTAAAGTAGAGTGGAAGAGAGAAAAAAGGCTAGGGAATGGCAGTGTAGGCCGTGAAAAACACAGGTTGCTCTTCCTGCATTCCCGAAGTTTGATCAAACCATTCTCCAAACAATGCTGTCCTCCACATCAATTCTGGAGAAAGTAGCGTGAAGTTTGGTCTAGGAATGAACACAGTGCAATTCATTACCCTGTTTGAAGGTGCAACACAGCCCAAGCACAGGCACATCAGAACCCAGCCCAGTGCTCGACTGGAAGGTGTGGGGTTTCCGCTTAGCTGACCAATCATGATGCTGTACACCTCATCTCTGTGAAAGCAATACAAACAGCACATGCCAGATATGAAAGGAGAGAGAGAGAGAGAGAGAGAGAGAGAGAGAGGGGGGGGTGGGGGGGGGGAGGGAGGGAGAGAGAGAGAGGGAGGGAGAGGGAGGGAGGGAGGTAGGGAGGGAGGGAGAGAGAGAGAGAGAGAGAGAGAGAGAGAGAGAGAGAGAGAGAGAGAGGAGAGAGAGGGAAAGAGATGGAGAGAGAGGGAGAGAGGGAGGGAGAAAGAGGGAGAGAGACACACTCAGAAAGAGGACCGACACAAAAAGACAGAAAAACAGAGAAACAGCCAGACACCCGTAGGCAGATTTATCATATATGATCCAGAACTCTGCCGTAGCTCATATTATTGCTTCCTTTTTGTAGTACTTACATGAAAAATCGTTGCAATATAATAAATTTAAAACCGATTTACAAAGCACTCAGATGGTGAGCCAAGGAAAAAAATTGTAATATGGGAAATTGTGGGCACAAGCTATGTGATCGAGTCCACCAACTAAACCAGATTTTGAACAGTCAGACTTTCATGCCGTGGAATGTCTCAGTACTCCCTGTCAGTTTTGTGCTAGATTGTGCACGTCTGACTGTTCAAAATCTGGTTTAGTTGGTGGACTCGATCGCATAACTTGTGCCCACAATTTCCCACAATTTTCAAAGCGTTCATACATATCGATATGTTCAGACTGCACCGTCATCAAGACACCTTGAAGTATGTACTGGTATACTCTAGGATAAGCTTTGTTAGATACAGTCAAATCTGCCGTTAGCGACCTCTGCTGTAGGCGACCATCTACCGTTAGCGACCGATTTTCCGTGCACCGACGGTTTCACATACAAACTGATCTGTCCAGAGCGACCATCTGCTGTGCGCGACCAGCGACCGCGATTTCATGCACGGTGGCTGCATTCAAATCTGCTGTAAGCGACCGCGACCCAGGTTCAGTAAGGTGCGAAAATGTACTTGCCAGTGCGCTGTCAACTGCAAAGTGTGAAAATGCGCTGTCTTGCAAGTGCGATCGACTGGCGCCTGGCCTGTACTCAGGCTGTGCTGTAGCTCTCAACTTACTCAAGTCCAGGCAGTGTCGATCTACTGCCGTGTCGCATACGCGTACTATACGGGTATGGTCGTCGTTGAATATCCAATAAAATGATATTAAAAATCACATTATTCTCGTCGATTTGAGTACATGGAAGCATATACCTGGTATGCCGGATTTACCATACATCTGTCGTAAGAGACCATCTGCCGTAAGCGACCGCTTTTTCTTGCACCAAGGGGCGGTCGCTTACGACAGATTTGACTGTACCATGATGATAGTAGTGTGAGGTCCATTCTGTAAGGCCACTAGTAGAACCTATTCCACACAGGCATGTTGTCGCATACCTGAGCGTTGGATAGAGGATGCAGTTGCCGACAATAAAATGGACTTTGTCGAGTTGAGACAGAGGGTAAGGCGGCAGTGGCATGGTCTCCTTGCGGCTGTGATGAAGCCGAAGTTTCAACATGATAGATCCTACTTCCTGCAGGGAGCCATCAAGCAGGGAATGAAACATACAATACAAATCATGATTAGTCAAGGATATGTTGGGCGAGTTGCACCATTTTCAATAATCCAGAACTATACTTTTTCTTGTGCAGAGGGCACGAGGGTATAGAAGGGTGCACACAGTTTTCAAGTGTAGTAGGTCAGCCAGACCATATTTCAATTTTCCCGACCAGTCCTTCTAGCAGTGCTATGATGTACCTGTGTAGCTGTGTACCTGTGTACCTGTGTAGCTATGTACCTGTGTACCTGTGTACCTGTGTACCTGTGTACCTGTGTACCTGTGTACCTGTGTACCTGTGTACCTGTGTACCTGTGTAGCTGTGTAGCTGTGTAGCTGTGTAGCTGTGTACCTGTGTAGCTGTGTAGCTGTGTACCTGTGTACCTGTGTACCTGTGTATCTGTGTAGCTGTGTAGCTGTGTACCTGTGTACCTGTGTACCTGTGTACCTGTGTACCTGTGTACCTGTGTACCTGTGTAGCTATTACCAATATAAAAGAAATATGGTAAGCCTCCTGCTGTCACCATGTGCTACATACCTCTAGCAGTTGCGCTCTTGTCGCAGCGTGCGTTTCAGGCAGATCGCCCATGAACTGCATGATGCATGTCCGAAGCTGGGATGCGGTCTTTGCCCCATGCAGCAGAAGACGCGAAGAACACAAAAGCACACCCACACAAAATTGGTGTAACATGCAAGACAGTTAGACATGGCCCAGATATGTCACAGAATACTGTTATCCATTCCAGTTCGGCCCGATGCTTTTCCAAGTCATGAAATACCATATGATATTCAAGAGTAGCGGTAGACACTCCTAAGTGTTACCTACCTGTCGTTGATCTACAGAAGGGTGGTAAAGGAGCGGGCCCGCCGACGGTTGCGCTGAGAATGTGGCCCGAGTTTCATCCCGGTAGTGAATGGCTGCAAACTTTCGGTACCCAAATGATGACAAGGCAGTAGGAGGAATCTAGTAGAAGTAGAAAATGATGCAGGCACAATAACATTTTAAGAACAAGATTGCAGTGGTGGGAACAGGGACGATTGGTTAACAGTGATGTCTTGGCAAGCATGTTAAAATTCAACTGCAGCTAGTTCATGCAGATATTAATTTGAGTGTACCAGTTACAATCTGGGATCTAGTACAATAGCAAACAGTTCACTGGGATTTAGTTTGGAGCATAACACACGATGTTCGGTATTCATAGCAGCAGCCAGTGATGTTGAAGCCAAGGAGAAACTTACCAGCTTTGGCTTCTCCACCACCTCTGCAGCTGTGTACGGCAAGATGCCAAACTCCTGCATGCGAAGAACAAGATAATGAAAGTGAGGTTTGGTCATGTCTAGATTGTGATAGTTAGCAAAGACAATGGACTGATTGGCCAGAATGTAGATGGCAATTAGCTAGGCAGACTGCATTGCATACATGACTGACCGTCTCACAAGCAACAAAGGAAACAAAGGAATCATTAATTAAATTAGGAGCCTACCTTCTTCTGAGCTGATGCCAGTTCATCATCATCATCCTCTCCATCCTCTCCAAGCTGGTCTTCATTTACACTTTGTGGAAGTAGCAGTGCCTTGAGGGCTAGTGGCCTTGACGACGAGTCATCAAACGAGCTCTCTTTGGCCAGACTGGATGTCCTGCTACGTGAAGATCCTGGTGACGCCTTCATTGCCAAACCTGAGACAACACGTTTGATCTTCACCACTGGCGATGAGAACTGTACACAAGAATAAATAGCGTTGAACACGGGAAGCGATGTGCACTGAATGTAATCGTTCACAATGGTGAGGCGAAAAATTATCATTACCAGAGCCCTTCCAATCTTGGAACGCCCAGCAGAGAAATTCTTGGACGTTTCGTAAGAAGCAGAGTAATGCAATGAAGATTTGAAGAAAAAGACTTTGTGATCAGCAAATGAAACTATCAGTCCATGAATGTGCTTTGGTGTGCATAATAATCTGTTCAGGAGTACATTGGAGATCTCATTCAGAATTTCTTCTCATCAAAGTATGCAGGCTTAAAAACAACTACTGACCCCATTACCACCAACAATGTCTACTGAATATCTTCCCATTTACACCGAAAATCGTGGATAGCGTGTACCACACAAAATGCCCACAAAGAATCGCATACAAGGATGCGTTCGTTGTGAAATATTACCTTCCTTGAACCAGAAGATGATCGCTGTCTGACTTGCATTTCTTCAACTTTTTCCCTCTCTGCCCTCCACTTCTCCTTCACATTATCACGCTGTTGCTGAACGGCAGATTCCCAGCCCTCCTCGCTGTCCTTCTTCTGCACTAGCTGGGCCTCGGCAAAGGCAGCCCTCATCTCTTCCATATTTTTCAGTTCCTCCATCTGCTTGCGATCTTTCTCACGCTCCACTTGTTGTGCTTCTTCATCAATCCGGCGCCTTTCGGCCTCCTGTTGTGCCAATCTCTCGCGTTCCTCTGCCTCTTCTCGCAGCTTCTGTTGACGAATACGTTCCTCTTCTTCTCTGCGCTGCTGCTTTGTCATCCTTGCTCGTTCTGCAGCACGCTCAGCTTCTATCCTCTGCAAGCAGAACCAGCACCATAAAGAGATACGACTGTCCGTCTTGGCATGTTAACATTTTGTGCTTCGATCAGTATTACACTATGTCAAAGCACAGCCAACGCAACAGAATGGGTGACGTTGGTGACACAGCTGAACACGATACTTTACTTGAAGGCCGATGTGTATGAATCCGTGATGTAGTCTGTATTCACTCTATTACTACCAATTCCGGGTGCATCAAAGTGCAGTAAAACCTAGTAACTAAAGACCACTGTGACCAGCGACCAGCCCTACAGACCACTTCGCCAAGCACGGACAGTCTCACATTCATGTATGGTTGTGCGATTCAAACGTCTAACTAAGGACCAGCTGCCACTAAAGACCCCTTTCTCTGGCCCCAAGGGGTGGTCGTTAGTCACAGATTTCACTGTACAATATACTGGTATGATATCTAACTGTGAATGTTACGACATCTTACAGACTAGATATTTCAGAAACTGTTTCAAAATCTTGACCTGTGTGGTTCTGTCTCTCTTAGCAAATTGCCAATGCATACCTCTTGTTCCCGTCGCCGCTCCTCCTCCCTGGAAAGTTCTAAATCAATGCGGATCTTGCCAACCTGGAATCAAGCACAGATGGTCGCACATATCAGAGATACACATCGTCACATATTCCACTAACAGCCAGCCCTGCATACATCTCAATGACTTGCCAATCCCTGCTGGAGATTATAGTAGACTGCTAGCAACTGGCATTGCATTCAAACCGTTCAGCGAGACATGTACATTCAAGTATGTAGAAGATCAAGCAGAAACCACTACCAATCCTTGAGTGATGAAGCAAAAGTGAATGTTTTGGATTCAAATCACAATACATACCCGTTTTCTTGCTGAAAGCCGTCGTGCGTGGCTTTGTAACTTTATCAAGGATGTGACCATACGCCTGACACGTTTCCGCACAAGGTAACCGCGAACGCGTGGCTGCAGAGACAGTAATGTAGTATTGACATATTCTGGTAGTTTGATATAGGATCAGCTACAACATCAGGGGCATTACCGCACACACGAAAGCCCGTATTTGTAACGTATTATTCACACTGATAAGATAAGCCAGCTACACTTAGACGCTGGACACACCATTCCCGAGACATCATTCAGCTGGGCCCAGGTGCAAAAGCCAAGTTGTGCCATATCATCTATATTGGCTACAGAGTGTTCGTTCAAGCTAGTGGATATGTGTGAGACTCCTGGAGCACGTGTACTTTAGTAGCGATGTCACCAAACATGTACATAATGTCCCGTTGAATGATGCATACCTGAAATCCACGAGCAAAAGCTCGAATCTTGAGGTATCTTCTGCGCTGGTGGTAGCAACGCCAACGTGCTTGCAGCTTGATGAAGCCCGAACGGACCTAAGCCAAAATGAAAATGTTCACAATATGACCAGGTAAAAGAAATGTTATTGAAATACGAAAAGTGGCATTTAACCATGCTTGGTCGTCAAAGAGGACCCTTGCAGTATAGATTTCTACCAATGTGTCCAGTTTTAGGGCATTGAAAAGGGAAAAAAGTTCGAAGAAAGGATTGACATACCCACCAGGACTCAAACCAAGGATCTTCGCTATAGGTCGGCTCTCCACAAATCATAGTGATGGATTGGTGTTGACCATCATTCGTGTATTGCACACAGTATTGTGCGAATGTATTGAACGTGGACTAAACCAGTGTAGACTGTGCTACGGAGTCCAAATGTTACAACTAGGTAGGAGTTATCATTCACACAGAATAGGTATGTACTGTTCGATATTAGAGATGTAGGGTATCCAAGCTACATGACCAATTCTGCTAGCCAGGCTATAGGGTGCACATAACTGCACTTGTCAGTTCGAAACATTAACACTAACATTCTCACAAAGCCATAGTTGAACATGAGAGAACACAGCAAGTGAATACAAACCATACCCTGGCATACCTTGAGAAACCAGCGCCGTTGGCAGATGGTTCTCCATGCGCGCTGGAATACAATGGCCGCTGCGCGTCGTCGTTTCAGGCGAATCCGTGTCAGCCACAAGAGAATTCGACGCTGAATCTTGGTGGCCATGTTGGTGACAACTTGGGCTCTGAGTAGCTCAAGTGCTTCAAACTGTTCCTCCTATGCAATCATGAACAACAGGGAGTTGTGTAAGCAACCTTTGTCAATCCTAAAAAATGGCCAATCAAAATAGGCTAGTTCAGTTTCATCTTGATGCTCCCTTATTCCTTTATATCTCTGCAACGCGGCATCGTAGGTCTTCGGCGATTGGCGATTGTTGCATGAGAAAGCTGAGCTCTTCGGCTTCTTCCCAGATATTTCGATCGTGGAAATCCGTCAAGTTTCGAGTGAGTTACGAGCGAATTAGTCCATCGACGGTATACCGTCGATTTTTGACTGGAAGGGCTCCAAAGGGGTAAAACTGGATCACAAGGCCTTGACTGTTCTATATTGATATCTCAGTTTATAGTTGGGAACAGAAAATGAATTCATTGGTTTGATGCATATCGGACAGTAATTCCATAATCACGAGGCAGCCACAGGTTGTATTCGTGGAGCGAAAGTGTGTAGTCTCTGGCAAGAAGTGAAATACGAAGTCCTCATATCCGGTAATTTCCGGGGCGTTAGCTGCACTTTAAAAAATGCATAAAACAACTCTCAAATTGCTCCTGCGAACGCTGGCTGTGAATCAACCTGCTTCACGGTGCTCCACGCATTTCATGCACGCATGTATGGTGTCAGTGAACAACCGTTCATGTACTGCAATCCATCATTGCAGTAGCTCAAAGCTTCAACATGTCGTGAAGGACAAACTAGGCGGCTTTTGCTAGAACTTTGGCCGTGCTTCTCAATTTGTAACTACTGGTAACATCTTGTATACTGATAACCATTCAGTTGGGTTTCCAAAACATCAAAGTCAGATGTGGGCCTTATACACCGAATGTCAACAAAAATACGAGTTTTGGCCCAAAAAGGGGGATGCGGCTAACACACCGGAAAATACAGTAAATAGACTGACTGCATACCTTCAAGAATAGCTTGGATCTGCCCACTTGCCAGTCTTTGTCTTTGAGAACTGGCAGCTTCTTTGCAATGGTGCTCATCATCAACTTGTCAACGTCATCCGGCGCACTTTCCTTGCTGCCCTTATTGAATGTCATCCAGTAGCGCTTTACGAAGTTTGCAAACGCCATTCGAACTGGGTAGCCAACCATACGGATCCTGCATGTGCACACAATGCATGTAGAGTCCACACATCGTACTAATGTATGAAACTAGAAGAAGACCAAAACTACCCTGCCTTTTTCTCTTTTCAAGGGGTGCGTTTCACAACCTCTACAGAGGACAAACAATAGTCCTGAATCACAATGTTGGCTAGAAACAGTCTTCAACAGGGATGCCAAGGTTTTATCCAGATTGGAATTTTGGCATTGAACGAACTGCTCAAAAGCGATATTGCCAAATCCTTGTCAATGGCCTACTGACAAAGTTCGGGGCATAGCAGCTAGCACTTACTTGACAGTCTCCATCATTCCAGAGTATCTTAGTTGTTTCAGTACCAGTTCCCGGTCAAATACCTGAAGCATCATAGAACAGATTATTGCATGACGTGTCAACCTGATGCCCAGAGAATTCAGGCTTCAGAGAATTTGAGGAGGTAAGAGCACGAGAAACAATCATTCAATCCGTATCATAACTATTGTTGCTTTCCCTGAAGGATCACTGTAGAGTTCAAACAATGTATTGTCCAACTGTAGAGTTCAAACAATGTATTGGCTGACTAAGGGAGGGGAGAGGGACTCGTTAATGTGCTGGAGTCTCTAAAAGCCAATACAATTCAGAGCTAAGACGGCGACATTCATGTCCGGCTCACCGTAGGCTGCATCATCATGTTGGGTTTGATGCACCTGACGAAGAATGGCTCACATCCACGCAGTGCTTCCATCATTTCGTCCAGTGATGTGCGAAACTGTGATGCCAATGTTGGCGGCACTTTGAAGCCCTGAGAATACCAACAGCAAAGGCATGGATAGACAAATTCAATTTCACAAGGCCAAATGTCCTCTGAAGGTATTGAAAAATGGCTGTGGCTTCTGTCTCTGTTGGAAGTGGAGCAACTTCCCTGAGACAAATGCACCGTCAGGCGAAATAGCACGTCATAGTACATTCGAGATCAGCGGGAAGAAGATGACGACGTCCACTAATTTAGTATCTGTGCACACGATTCTGCTGTGTGTGTGTTACTCTGTGTGTCAGCTATGGCATCATCGCCTGTGGTTCCATGCCTAGCATGTACGTCTGAACCATCCTACAAAGTTTGAATGACGTAGGTTGAGCGATCGCTCCGCGAAACATGCTTTTTGAAATTCTCTTCATAGTATATCTTCCACCATTGAAATTTCGAATTTCTTCGAATTTTTTGCTGGGAGGGGTGGCTTGCAACCTCGATATGGCTTGTTCCAGGCATGCTTTGGAGCCATCGCCTGTTGAAACAGTGGCGGGAAGCTGCCCTGCAACTGTTCCAGCAGGAAATTAATCGATCCGAGAAAGCGCGAGTCCGCGAATCTCGGTTGAATATTGAGTATTTCAAGCCTTTTCACGACGAAGATGGAGTTCTTTTTGGAGATGGACGTCGCGACAAAGGACATGGTGTCCGACTTCTGGCGTCTGGTAAAGCCAGGGATCATTTGTCCAGTCAGGTCGGCAGCCTAACCGTCGGTAAGCTTGTGTTTGGATCCCGTTCTGCTCGATGTGGTAGATCACAAACAATTTGAGTATCGCACAAATTGATTTCAGCATCGTGCGTACGGTATTTTATATTCAGAAAATCCCAAAGTGTCTCTGTGTGGCCGTCCTATGCCACGAGAAACTCCAATCAGGCTCCTATGTCCTCTGCCTTCATGATTGAATGTCCACTTCGTTTGAACAACGAACACAACAATCGAGGACGGCTTTGCAATGAAAAATACAGCTAGACTAGAGCTGAAAAAAAGAAGAAAAAAACGGGCTCAGGATGAGACTCGAGTACACGCATACTCTCCCAGCAGGTGAAACGCAAATTTTTGTGAAAAATGCGTGACGCCGACTGACCAGTAATTTCGCCTGACGGGGCTCTAACTGCTACTACTACTACTATGTTGTCAACAGATACATGACCCTTATTTGATTTTTCATAGGAGCTACATATATATGAGTGCTATATCATAAGTATACCTTCTGGTGTTTCTGGAGATTTAATTTTGATCTATTGCAGGTTTGTGCTTACCATTTCATCAAAGTCTTTCTTGAAGAAGTTGTGGACGAGACTCAGGCGACTAGAGTGTAGTAAGCGGATAAGGTCCTTGCTGAAAGTATCTCTGTTCTTCTCCAGAAAACCTAAGCCACAGGGGAGCACCAGGATAGGGATTATATTGATGTTGGTGTCGGTGCTGCGTCAGAACAAGGAGCTGCACGATTGCTTACCTTCGGTAATGTACGACACAGTACCAGCAAAGTGTTGAATGCCAAACTTGTTCGATCGTGGTTTGGGCTTTATGTAGAGAGCATTCTTGCCGTGATTGGCGGTCAACTTCTGCAGCAAGCTGTCATCACTGCCCTGGAAATGACACAAACATAATATCATCAAGTATGATCTTTCAATGTACAAAAGAAGCCTTTATTCTCATTAGCAATAAAACCAACCAATTTCAAGGGGGGGGGGGGGGATTAGGGCTAATCCCGATCGCTCATGATTTCATTCTTTCACATTGCTTGTAGTGCGTGGGCAGGTATATCCATTAGCTGCAGAAATCGAACTTGACGAGTGTTGCCTGATGATTCCTTTCGCCTGAAACTTCTAATAGCAGCACCATTCTTCAAGTTCTTGTTAAATGGTGGAAAACGCTCTGTCACTATAGCCATTAAGCACTCTACTCAGATAAGGAACTGCAAGGTTTATCCATCAGCTATGCGTGTGTGGGTCATTACTGACTGAACTTATTCAAGATATAATCTTCCCTTGGTATGGTCTACAAGACAAGGTTGCAATGCCTGGAGTCTACTTCATGATGCACAGAAACTGGGTTCGTCAGGCGAAATTACTGGTCAGTCGGCGACACGCATTTTTCACAAAAATTTGCGTTTCACCTGCTGGGAGAGGATGCGTGTACTCGAGTCTCATCCTGAGCACGTTTTTTTCTTCTTTTTTTCCAGCTCCAGTATAGCTGTATTTTTCATTGCAAAGCCGTCCTCGATTGTTGTGTTCGTTGTTCAAACGAAGTGGACATTCAATCATGAAGGCAGAGGACATAGGAGCCTGATTGGAGTTTCTCGTGGCATAGGACGGCCACACAGAGACACTTTGGGATTTTCTGAATATAAAACACCGTACGCACGATGCCGAGATCAATTTGTGCGGTATCAAATTGTTTGTGATCTACCACATCGAGCAGAGCGGGATCCAAACACAAGCTTACCGACGGTTAGGCTGCCGATCTGACTGGACAAATGATCCCTAGCTTCACCAGACGCCAGAAGTCGGACACCATGTCCTTTGCCGCAACGTCCATCTCCAAAAAGAACTCCATCTTTGTCGTGAAAAGGCTTGAAATACTCAATATTCAACCGAGATTCGCAGTCTCACCCTTTCTCAGATCGAATCTTTTTCTGTTGTAGCAGTTGCAGGGCAGATCCCCGCCACTACTTCAACAGGGGATGGCTCCAAAGCATGCCTGGAACAAGCCATATCGAGGTTGCAAGCCACCCCTCTCAGCAAGAAATTCGAAATTTCAATGGTGGACGATATACTATGAAGAGAATTTCAAAAAGTATGTTTCGCGGAGCGATCGCTCAACCTACGTCATTCAAACTTTGCAGGATGGTTCAGACGTACATGCTAGGCATGGAACCACAGGGGATGATATCATAGCTGACACACAGAGTCACACACACAGCAGATTCGTGTGCACAGATACTAAATTAGTGGACGTCGTCATCTTCTTCCCGCTGATCTCAAATGTACTATGACGTGCTATTTCGCCTGACGTTTACGCAAACTTGATGTAGATTTTGGCATATTTCCAGGCAGTTTTGTTGTGTGGTATGCTAGCCAAGGAGCGGGTCCTGACAAGGGCGACTTTATCTGCTTTTGAGCAAGGTCAGCTCGAACCTTTTCGGACTCATCCCCGGATAATCACACTAGGTGCAAATCCATAATATCTTTCAATAAACATCTCTCCTACCTTTGGGAACCTACTCTCCTCATCCACCAAGGCCAGGATGTTCATTCGTTTCATGCACAGGAGATCGAGAACTTCTTGATTGTCCACGAACGGTATGTGCGACCAACTGATGTTCTCTGCTTCATATTCTGCCTGCACAGATCATCCACAGAACAACGCCATGGAGAGCATATTAACTTGCTAAAAACATGCCACATGCTGAATTGTTTCAAACTTGCTAAAAACATGCCACATGCTGAATTGTCTCATGTCTACACAGCATAATCGAATCATTGCAAAGTTTATGACAAGTTGACGGCCATAATCAATCGATGATCTTGTGTGTGGAACTCTGACAACACATCTTACCAACAGTGTCGGGCCATGGTAGACACACTATCAAAGGGCGGGATACGAGTTAACTTAAAATTGAAGAACGTTCTGTCTCCTGGCTGCTACATCGATCTGTACATCCTTGTCTTCTAGGATCGATTCCATTCGACTTGGCGCCCAGAATACCACAGGTTCTGAAAATTTGATTTGTCCTCGATAAGTTCCCCTCCCCACATTATACGCGACCTTGCATGGTACTCATCCACGCCACCACGTCCATATCCATCTTTTAGATATCGCACTACAGTGCCATGCACGGACTAACCTGTTCCAATTTGAAGATATGGTGAAGGAAGAAGTTCTGAAGCTTTTCATTTGTGTAGTTCACGCAGAGCTGCTCAAAACTGTGCCAAAACCAAAAGAAAAATACCTAAGCTCAGCATGAAAACAAAACCAAAACGGTAAAGGAGTCTAGATATCACCGTCCCACATCCCGGAGCTCACACCACACACACACAGAAGTACACTTCATTACAATTCATATACAACAATCCTTCCAAATGCTGAGGTAAGTATGCTGATGGCTGAAACATTCTTGAGAAGGGACACATGCCCTTTTGAGTGTGGAATCAGCACTGTCACATGGCAAAACCATGCAGCCACTGATCAGCACTGTCACATGATAAAACCATGCAGCCACTGATACTTACAAATTGCCATGATCGGAGCTTTCAAAGCCAAAGATGTCCAGGATGCCAATGGAGATGGTGCTCGATGCCGGGTGCAGCTTAGACCGAGATCTTTGCAACTTCGAACAGGTAACGGCACACATATACACAGTGTCACAGACTTCGAACAGGTAACGGCACACATATACACAGTGTGACACAGATGCATACACCCACAGACACGCATTAAGACGTTGGCACACCTACTGCACAGTTATACGTAATATGGCCTTCACTGAGTATCAAGGACAGCGCCGCCATGTGGATAGATCAAATTTACCTTTGGCCCTTCAATGCTGCTATTGATGCGGCCGGCCACCCAGACAAACATCTTGGAGTAAATGCCCTTGACGAAGGAGTCCTTCATGTCCATTGCCTTGGTCTTGCTGAGCGGGGAAACAACGGTGTCACCTCTTCCTGTAGAAGTAGACTTGTTTGTAAACCACCTGATCATCTCCTTCTCATCAATCTACGGCACCGACAACAGACATGCACACGTGCTTGAAGTCGATTCTCACGCTCTAGTGGCAATGAAGAGTAGAGGATAAAGGTGTGTCACTCTGCTAATTTTAACGGAGATACATCTTCAAAGTGAGAATAGGAGGAACCACCACACAATGTGATCTACCCAGTGCACAGTTTGTAGTTGCAATTCCCGAAGCTATGCAAAAGACGTTACATTAGTAGCGTCTGGCGCTAGCCAGGCTCCACTCCGCTTTGTAGCGTGACCATTACCGCAGGTGACGGGATACCAGGGATGGTTGCAACAACTGATTCCACCGACACCGCGTATTATAGTATTATAGTATTATAGTATTATAGTATAGTATTATAGTATTATAGTATTATAGTATTATAGTATTATAGTATTATAGTATTATAGTATTATAGTATTATAGTATTATAGTATTATAGTATTATAGTATTATAGTATTATAGTATTATAGTATTATAGTATTATAGTATTATAGTATTATAGTATTATAGTATTATAGTATTATAGTATTATAGTATTACTCAATCTGCGGACAGCATGCTGTTTCGTTCTTTTTGAACTCATCAGCGCAGCACAGAGAAAATGAGGCCGAACCTGATAGCAATGGAAATAAAAATTTCCAATCAGGCCCGAACGTACCTTGCCAGAGTGCTCAAACTGACAAGTCAGTGAGCTCTGCATAACGCAAACAGCAAAGGCACTACCCCACGCAAGAGTGCTCAACTGCTACAAGAGCAGGAGCGAAATACTCAATCTGCGGACAGCATGCTGTTTCGTTCTTTTTGAACTCATCAGCGCAGCACAGAGAAAATGAGGCCGAACCTGATAGCAATGGAAATAAAAATTTCCAATCAGGCCCGAACGTACTTAAGTATTATAGTATTATAGTATTATAGTATTATAGTATTATAGTATTATAGTATTATAGTATTATAGTATTATAGTATTATAGTATTATAGTATTATAGTATTATAGTATTATAGTATTATAGTATTATAGTATTATAGTATTATAGTATTATAGTATTATAGTATTATAGTATTATAGTATTATACAGTTGCGCTCGGTGAAATCCGGCCCGAAGTGCAAAGCCGGCGCCGCGAAGCCAGCTCCCATTACATCACTGGCGATTTGTGTGTATGAACTCAACTGTACGCACCTTGTGTAAAAGTTCGGAGTGCACGTGTTGCATGCTAAAAACAGTTCAAAATTTCTTTCATTCACTTCACTGAAGCACAGCAGGATCTTCTCGATAGCGGAGTACTCAACATCCTGTTTCAACCTCCCAGCTCGCCGGACATGAATCCAATCGAGAATGTGTGGGCTCTTCTCAAGAAGAGAATAATTCCACATCGCTGCGAGAATGCTGACCAGCTGGTGCAGGCACTGCACCTGGAGTGGGACTCGTTGCGTCCTGACACGGTTTCCCCATACGTGGAGTCAATGTCACGTCGTGTTGAAGCCCTAATCGAAGCTGACGGTGGCCACACAAAATATTGAAGCCCTGCTGTTCTGTGCATGAAATAAACTGCTTCGAAACGATCTCCGTCTTCTTTACTTGTGCTGAACTGAAATGAATGTTACACTTGTCTTTGTTTGGCGCGGTTTTTTACACTTTGGTGTAAGCATACATGCGTATGAGTACAGCACATGCACAGTTCATACTACACACGCGCACACTAGCACTTGTACAACTTTGAGGGCGTCAAGGGCCGCATCAGTACTGGGCGCCAGTTATGCACTTCGGGCCGGATTTCACCGAGCGCAACTGTAGTATTATAGTATTATAGTATTATAGTATTATAGTATTATAGTATTATAGTATTATAGTATTATAGTATTATAGTATTATAGTATTATAGTATTATAGTATTATAGTATTATAGTATTATAGTATTATAGTATTATAGTATTATAGTATTATAGTATTATAATGATTTATTACACAGAGGCAGTAGGCTTAGGTCTGCGAAAGTTCTCAATACCTGATTCAGGCAGAGCGGCGTTCACAAAGGCACACAATGAAAACCCTGGGCAAATTCCGTTGTGACTCAGAGTTTCATGGCTGAACCAATCACCAGACAACGCACTGTCTGATGATTGGTTCAGCCATGAAACTCTGAGTCACAACGGAATTTGCCCAGGGTTTTCATTGCGTGCCTTTGTATTATGATTTATTTAAAAATGTTTATGTCCCTCGTTGTTTCACACATTTTTTAATTGAGCGCTAGAAATTCTGTCCCTGTCAATATTCAGCTTTGTTACGATCTGTTCACAGATGGTAACATGAAAACCGGTTATGAACTACATTTATCCATAGATGTTCTTCTTCAATAAGATGTTCAACATGTACGCCATCGACACCATTTGCACTTTCGCCTCATGTTCCCTCACTCTAAAAAGTCTAAATAGAAGAATGTTGACTTCACAGCCCGTCCTATGTATTTCGATCATAAGCACTACTTCATTTCTCATACAGGAACTTGACCACTATGACAATATTCGCCTCTCAAGAAAACTTGATACATTCTCAAGAAGCCATTGGTGTATACCTGAAGTAGATCTGTAGCGATACGAGTGAGGTCGGAGTGAACCAGCTCTGACGCCTCCAGCTGCTTCAGCTCAATGGCTAGCGGAAGAGACGCAGACACAAGACGAGATCAGAGGCCGTAATAAGGCAGCTATCCAGCACTTTGCCACTGTATTCTAGCTCCTTGCAACTCTTGCACACAGAAGTTATTAGTATCACCGTAGTAGACATAACCTAGACAAAATCTTTGGGTTTGAAAGCTCGGATTACGTCAATCAGCAAGATAGAAGTTCAAGACACAACACATGGGAAGCGTACAAGGCATGTGCGTACACGAGCTTGTACACACAAATACGAGGTCCTGCTGTGCGGCAATGCAACATGAGAAGGGTTCCAGATATCCAAGACTGAAGGCAATGATTCGTTTTGATTATTGTACCTGTCATTTGGATATTGCCGATGTGAAGGAGAGCTGCCAGGATGGAGAATATGGTCCACATTTCATCTTCAGTAAACATCAATACCTGGAAATTGAACATATTTCGAAAAGGGGAGGGAGGGAGAGAGAGAGGGTGAGAGAGGGTGAGAGAGAGAGAGAGAGAGAGAGGAGAGAGAGGAGAGAGAGGAGAGAGAGAGAGAGAGAGAGAGAGAGAGAGAGGGAGAGATAGAGAGAGAGGGAGAGATAGAGAGAGGGAGAGAGAGAGAGGGAGAGAGAGAGAGGGAGAGAGAGAGAGGGAGAGAGTGAGAGAGAGAGAGAGAGAGAGAGAGGGTGAGAGAGAGAGAGGGTGTGAGAGAGAGAGAGAGGGAGGGAGAGAGAGAGAGAGAGGGGGAGGGAGGGAGAGAGAGAGGGGGAGGGAGGGAGAGAGAGGGAGGGAGGGAGGGAGAGAGAGAGAGAGAGAGAGAGAGAGAGAGAGAGGGAGAGAGAGAGAGAGAGAGAGGGAGGGAGAGAGGGAGAGAGAGAGAGAGCAGGAGATAAATTCTATGAACCTATACATGTATCATATGGCTTTACCTCTACACCACCATAATGGTACTGTATTGAAGACTTGCCCAGCTGCTGTGATTATCTCAACAAGCATAATATGTAAATAGTTAGGGTGAACAAGTCTAGTTAACTTGCATTTCTTGGTTCAGGGTCCTGCAGTTTGACCATATTAAGTGTTGGTATAACATAGTAGAGCTCAGCTTCATGTCAGTGGTACTTTGTGTGACACAGGCCTTGTAAAATTGCCCAGTATGGTTGAGCAAAGATTAAGATTAAAAGTGAAGGACACTTAAAGTGCCCTTCACAGAAACTTGTAACAGTATTGTAGCAAAAGCTCCCCAAGTCCTATGACGTCATCCGTTCTAGTATTATACTGTATTCATTGCACCAGTTCAATCACTCCCAAACATAGAACTGTGACAGCTCATGTTCGGCAAGTGCACTCATTTTGTGTTTGCAATAGGACTTGCAAGTGATGGTGTTAAAAGTCAATTAACATTCTACTCCCCATGCTAGAGTATAGAGTAGACACACACGCGTGCAGGACGCGACACACCAAAAGACAAGAGAGTGAGTTTGGAAGAATGGGAATGTCGGGCAGAGTAGCTGGCCTCAATTGAGTGCGCGTTAACGAATCGTGTGGTCGGCCTACCGAGGGCAGGAGCTGTATATGACCAAGTGGGTCGGCCTGCGCTGAGCAGGAGCGGTTTGTGACCCATGCGAGTTGGTGGGTCGGCCTGCGTTGAGCAGGAGCGGTTTATGACCCATGCGAGTTTAATAGTAGTGCGCGAGAGGCCAGTTACGGAGGAGTGCCCGCATCCATGTGTTTCAAAATATATGGAGTGGAGTGTAAGAGTAAGAAATGGGATGAGGAGGGTGGGTCAGAATTTGAAAGCTGACTGCAGGCAAGGAAACTGGAAAGACAGCAAGCTCTGTTGTGCGCACAGGAAATCTGCGCATGCGCAGAGCGTGGGCATGTGATGTCTATGATACACAGCAGTATGTAGAGAGAGCAAGATTGTGCACACACGTAAGGAGGGTTATGCAACCCGTTATAAAGGCCAACAGCGAAGCAATGGTATGTGACTGTTAACAACGGTTAACTCCAACATTAACCGAACATTTAGTAATGACTCCTAGGTCACATTGGATCCAGTGCGACCATAGTCAAGTGCAGTATCTGTTGGGTAGGCCCTTGTGTCTCAAGCTGGTGTGTCATGACTCCAACATGGTTGTAACGTAGCACTTTCTAGCCCTACTGTAGCAATTCGGAACCATTATCATGTATTGTTTCAACCAGAAGGTGACTTTCCATGATGACAAGGCTGATTTTAAGTCTTGCCAAGCCCTGTCTGCTTTTCAAATTATCAAGGATGAACCATTCTGTTTGATCATGTTAATTAACTCACCTTCATGGCTGCCTTCACTTTTCGGAACTCGTCAGCATTATGCTGTGGCAATGGAGGGCACTCTCCCTGTAGTGTGCACGTGTATGTGGGAGAGAAAGGGAGAGCGATAGAAAGAGAGAGATAGAGAGAGAGATAGAGAGAGAGATAGAGAGAGATAGAGATAGATAGATAGATAGATAGATAGAGAGAGAAAGAGAGATCGAGCGATCGAGAGATAGAAAGATAGAGAGATAGACATAGAGAGATAAAGAGAGAAATAGATATAGAAGAGAGACAGATAGGCAGACAGACAGACAGAAAGACACATATTCGCAATTCGAGACAGATAGATTACGTAAGTGAAACATAGCAGCCTTATTCAAGCCAACTACTTTACCTCCACCAGGTAATGATAACTTGTGATGTCCTGCATGTGCAGCCGCTCTTTGCTCTGCTCATACAGGCCAGCAAGCATCAGATAGATTATGTAAGTGAAACATAGCAGCCTTAATTCAAGCCAACTACTTTACCTCCACCAGGTAATGATAACTTGTGATGTCCTGCAAGTGCAGCCGCTCTTTGCTCTGCTCATCCAGGCCAGCAAGCATCAGATAGTAGATGTGGTAGTTGAGCTCGGAGAAGTTTTGATGAACAATGCGGCACTTCTCCAGTAGATACTGATGAATCTTGGCAAACTGGATGTGGCCGAGCCGGTCAAAGTGAATGTTGATGTACTTTCCAAAGCGACTGCTGTTGTCATTACGAGAGGTCTTGGCGTTGCCGAATGCTGTGCAGCACAGAAACAAACTCAGACTATCTTCATTTGCCTTTAGGTGGCAAACCTAACCAAAGGTGAGTATTTCATCCTCAATCTACATAATTATATTTTAGTTCCAGGACAACAGCATATTGGTACATGGACTTATCTAATTTCTATTTTCCAAGTCATCTTTCCACATCTATCGTATTTCGTGGCTTTTTCTAGCTTGTGATGGACTTGTGGCCCATCTGCATACCGTATTTTCCCCAATAAATGTACAGTACTTTTATTTTTTCAAAGGTGGCCAGACATGTACTACTATAGGAGACGGTACTGGTATTGGAGACGTGTACTTTCATTGTTTCTGGAAAGATTGATTGCCTGAGTTGGGTGGCAAACAACTCGTGACAATGATACTGTAAGGCTGTAAATACATCCAACCATGGTAAGAAGCAGTGTAGAAAGACACACAGATGATAAACGGGTAAGAAAAATGAAGTAAGGTGGACCCTGGTACTACCCCAGTAACGCCCATCACATCATTCCGGCATGGACTATCATTAGAGACGTGTCCTTTTATATTTTGATCCACACTCAATATGTACAAGTACTACAATTGGAGACGTACTAGTATTGGAGACGTGTACATTTAATGGGGAAAATACGTTACGTGAATTCACATCGAGACAAGCAATGAAATACAATACCTTCAAGAACAGGATTGGAATCCAGAATCTGCTGCTCAATCCAATTGTGTTGTCCACTGACGGCAGCCAGAAACTGCAAGATGAGCTTGGTCGACTCAGTCTTGCCTGCACCAGTCTCACCACTACCAGAACAAACAAATGACATCATCATCGCAATACTTCTAATGAAGCCACGAGACTTCCTAATGCAATGAGCTGCCTGATTGCATACGTACACAAATGTACTAGCATATTTCTTTCCTCAAACCTCTGGTGGTATATTTGAGGATGTGACTATCCGACACGTTTTGGAGGTAGCACAACAATGGCCATGTCTTCCGTTTCATATCATCATCTTAGACAAGTCCGCTTTGATATTTGCATACAAATTCCAAGAGAAGTCACTCCCGCCTGCCCCCGAGTGTTCACAGTGTGATTTCTAGATAACGAGGGAACATTCACCAGTGACGTGCAGCTCGTGTCTTAGACACTCGACACGGTGACCTGCTGCTCACCTGTTGATGATGCACTGGTTAGCCTGCGTGTATTTCATCTTCTCGTAAGCAGCGTTAGCAATGGCGAAGATGTGTGGCGGATAGTCCTGCAACTTGGCACCGGCATACCGATGGATCATCTCTTTGTTGTAAATGCCCAGATTTTTGTTGGGATTCAGAGCAACAAGAATGGTTCCGGTGTACGTCTGGCAACAAACCGACACCAGATTCTCTTTCAATTCCAAAAGGCAATACGCATATACTGGTGCTCAAATATCAGTCGAAATGTCCATGCACAATGTGAGTGAAATTCAGAATCGGCCTCGGGTGTTAATTTTTCAAGACACTTCATCCCCCGGAAACAAAATCTTCATAACATTGATCGAGTTGTCAGTTCTGATTAATTGAGCTCTGAGGAATCAAGCAATGGTGACTCCTATTGAGACTCTAACAGTGCCAATTGCTTTTGTACAATTGTGTACATGCTTTATGAAAGTATAACCACTGATTGGCTTTTAGTGTGTTTGCTATGGTTAACCATATTTCCTGATCATAGAAACTTCTTAGAGTGTGAAGAAAAAGCCATGAAGTTTTGTTTCCGGAGACGTACGTCTCCTGAGCACAAAACCGTGCAATACATGGAGTTACCCTGGATTTAACTGACCAGTGGGGTCACTCTGATACATGCTGGATTTAACTGACCAGTGGGGTCACTCTGATACATGCTGGATTTAACTGACCAGTGGGGTCACTCTGATACATGCTTAGAGTGGAATTGCTGACTAGCAGGGCACCAGCCAGGTGACATTGGTGTGTTGTATGCGCAGAGACATAATGGCGCGCGCACGCACGCACACACACACACACACACAAACACCCCCCCCCACACACACACATACACACACAGGCAGGCAGCCACACAGACCGGGAGACAGTGCGAACACGGCGCGACAAAAGGCTCCAATCCTCGTGAACACCATGTTTTGGGTATCTGAAAAGACAAACGAGTTTACTTATCAAACACAACTGAATAAGTGAGCACTACGCTCACATAGACAGCAACAGCACCATTTTGCGCAAATATTGACACTAACTAATTTATAGGAACATCATTCTTACATAGATCCGATCCTTTCCAAATCGGATGCGAATATTGCGCAACAGGCCAGCTTCAGAAACATCATCCAGATGGATCTGCGGACACAATGAGAAGTAAATCATTATCACGGTGTGCATATTCTGCCCAACTAATTACAGACCAAACCGAAAACAGGATGGTCTGTAGAGATTTGAAAATCCAACCTGGGCGAAATAACCTCAAAGCATGCCTTTTTGGGTTTTAGGAGTTCTGCAACTGTGTGTATTGTGTATTTGTGATGTTTGAAAAGTGTCCTGAATAAGAATAGGCATGTCCGTTCTGAAGAGATTGACCAGCAAAATAAGCTGTAGGATAACTCCAGGGTGCTGTATTATTGAAAAATCCAGATCTGGCTCTAGACCAATGAGCAGCCACGGCAAAGCAGATTCCCATCACAGCTACTTTCTGACTGCACAGCAGGACGGGTTTTCCCCAGCTGAACCCCACTGTAGCTCGCAATTGCTCACCATGTCCTCTACGCCATCAACGTTACTCTCCTGCATGAGCTTGAGACGATGAATCTCATTGATTGGGATGGACACGTCCTGAGAGAAACACAACAAATGCGTGCCATGTGCCATGTCAAAATCATAAGGGATAATCTTGTCATGGGAAGCAAAGAAACCTGGGGGGAATTATGTTAATGCTTTTCACCAAGGCACTCTGAAGCTGAATGGCCACAGTCTGATAAATGGATTGTGGAGAATGCTGCATGAGAGTAATCCAAACAATGTGTACCTGCCTATTGTTGTACAATATGGTAAACCTGGCAGCCAATTGTTTACACTGCATATTGACCACAAATCTTCGCCTCCTTACATCCGAAACTTTCGTTTAGCCCTGTAATTCAATGTCGTCAGTTGTTGTTCTTTGTACATGTAGTTGTTTCATTCTTTTTTGAGTTAGCAAGATCTATTGTACACTGCCTAACGATTCGCCCTCCGAAGGCAAATCCAAAAAGGAAACTTCTCCGACTTGGGTGGAAAGCTAACGATTGGATTGCATGTATAAGGTGTGCATATGGGTTGAATAGAGGTTTTGCAAACCATGCCATGGTGGTGGGCCAGTGGGGTTGCTTATGGGCCAAAACGATGCAGCATTAGTTGGAGGATTTGGTCATGGAGCTAAGGGTGTGTTCTTTGAAAGTTATCTCGAAAAAGTCCGAGATTGAAAAGTCGACGGTTCTTATACCTACTCGGGATTTTAGGAGATTCTCCAAACCCCTCCAAGCTATCCAAGCTTTGGAGAGTGGTGGAAAACTGGAGATTCAAGCGTATAATGGATTTTTGCATGTGAACTACTACAAAATATGTGTTTTCCAGGCGTAACCAAAAACGATCATGTTCTTGCTCAAGTCTCTCAAGGTTGCAGTCCGTTTTGTGTTTTGCACTTAAGACAACATCGAGATTCGTTCTTTTATCCGTCCCATTGATTCTCCTTCCCGGAGACATTTCTCCAGGAACTGGCCGGAAAAAAGAACGGTAAACTTATACAGTGCATACAGTGTGTTTTGCTTGAGTGGCATACCAGCTAGCACATCACTGCACTGCGACTTTGCCACTCCAAACATTGCATCTCGAGTGATGATGTATTCAACAACCTCTATAGAATCATCATCTACGCAGCGTTTCCAGGTATTGAATGTCTCTCGTTGCACACATTTATGGAGTATTTGTACTAGTGTCACAAAGGCATCTCATTCTTGAGGGAACTTTATTTCTGACAGCAATGCCCATTGACAGCCAATTTTCACTTATTCATACCTCATTGTCTTCAGTCAGGAAAGCCAGCCATTCCTCCGTGACCGTCTTGACTTTGGCTCCAATTGGCACGGAGAACTCTCCTCCCAGCTGCGAGTCATACCACACATAATCTCCAGGGAAGGGCAGGCGACTCTGTTGCACAACATGACGCATGCAGAAGTACAACTCAAGTTAGGTTTTGAAGGAAGAAAGCGACAGAATCCTGAGCAACAAACAAGAAGGAGCTCGCTCACCGAGGATTCATTGTTATCGTCGGGACGAGGAGCGTTGCCTAGTCCTCAAGACTGTGGGTCCCACCACAATCTGAAGAATTATAATAAGACTAGGAAGCTTGAAAACCTACTGCACTCTTCGATACCAGCTTCTGCCCTTCTACCTGAGTACAATTCACTAAAGGCTCCTTTAGCGGCAAACTACGGATATGCAACCCACAATGAAGTTACTCCAAGCAGAGAAAAGTTACGAAAAAATCAACAAACCCACTTCGAGAGGAAGTACATGTATCTATAATGGATGGATACAATCGATAATTTCTGCTGATAAGGAAACATTAGTAACTGTTCATCACCACATGTAGCATTTTGTGGAGAACCAACCATTGGCATTACCTGGGCCATGGTCCTGTTCGCGCCTTCACGGCGGTGGGGTGTGAGTAGAAAACACTTCGCGGCTCTAACGCGGTGTCCTCAGCGGGATGGCCGCTCCAGACATCACGGCTACCACAGTGACAGAGTTTTTTCCCTTTCTTTCGAAGTGACTTTAGTTGAACAGCGCGAGCAGTAGCGCGGTGTCACAGCCCGTTGTAGCAAGAAGTGATCAATCTATGAACGAATGGGAAGTGCGAAATGCGCCAAAGAAACTCTGGTCCCATTACATACACTGCTCTGACTTGTAGGAAGACTACTCGTCTCCAGAACGCTCATCCGAAGTCGATGTGCACAATGTCTTCCAATCAAAAAGAAACACACGAACACGACGACCACTCGCACGACTGCGGTCAAGATTAGTTCAGCGTACTTGAGTGGCTGGAATGCATTCCAGGAGTTGCTTTCCAAGCTGCCTTGCAGTGACGTGACGCTGATGGGTGAATATTTTGTTTTCTGTTGCTGTCAAACTGCATGGGTCAGCTACATGTAGCCCCACCCCTCGGGCCTCAAGAGATTCCGTTCATTCATGTGGCACATTTCCCTGTCATTCCCAAACAACAAAGCCTCAGGTATACGATCATGTAGATTGTCTGATGTAATATTAATAATCATCAGCATGTTCTTCAATCCGGGCTAATAACGCTGCCAGTGTGTAGTGCAGGTCTGCCTACATCACCATGCACTGAGTGATGCATTTTCAGAGTGCAAACAGACTCAAGATTTTGATCTGTGATGCAGGCTTTCATTCCATCAACAAAGATAGAAGCCTGAGCATGAGCTGCTGGAGAGCTGAAGACCTTCTTCCATTGTGCAAAATGTTTTCCACGATTTGAAAATACACAATCATGATGGTGTGCACGTGCATGCACAAGACTGTAATAATGAAATGGTTGATAACATTAATATTCCACCATAATACTGGCCGAGTGTCTCTGTGAGTTAATACTGGAATGCGATCACACACTGACTTGTTCAGATGCATGGTTCAGACGTAGAAATAAGACAGTGTACTTTGTAGCTAAATGTACGACACATACATCTGTCTTTTCAAAACTGATAGTGGCCTGGGAAAACGAGTAGTAGGCCAATCATTATCTCAAAATCTTCTTTGTGTAATTCTGAAGAGTACCAATCCATCAAGGTAATCATGCATAGCCATCTTCATCAAATACATTGTACTGGTTTGGCCAGCAAACCAAACATGAATTCTCAATCAAGGCCATGGCATTGGCCTTGCTTGACCTTATCCTGATAATCCTCTCTACAGCAGCACAGGCCTGTCATCACTCTTTGTACACCTGCAGAGTTCCTTCCGTTGCTTGCATCTTGTAAACCATATCAGATCGCTGTTTCTCGGTTGCAACAACTTTCTGATGATTTACACTTCTTGTAAAGGTTCTCTTGGTCTGCTGTGTCTGGTATTCTCCCTAGTTTTCAGCAAGGATGGACATGGAGTGAAGGCAAGAACCAACTATTCTTACTGGATGGGTGCTGCAGTCACTGTTTCTCAGCATACAGTATTGACTTTTTGACAACAATGGCGTATCATTACGGACCATCACATGTCGTAACGGAACGTTGCTCATCTCTGCCGAATCAGGCTTACAGCCATCACAAAGATGATATACAATGACGTCATTCCTCTGTGGATGATTCATCCTTCCCTAGCACATGCTGAATTGCTGATGCATCCTTCACGAACACAGTCATGCAAAGATGGCAAAGACAGCCATTCATACTGCTGGACCCCGAGGCGGAACCAGACGCCATGAAACCAAATACGGCTCTCGACTTAGACAGCTGGATCACTGCAACTCACTCTGATCTCTCTTGCTCGCATGTACCATCGGTGGATATTTTCTTTCTGGAGGACTCCAGTCCTCTTCTATACTGATCCTTCAGTGCCAGGAAAGACACAGGTGGAGGCTCACTCCTTTCTGCCCTGGACTGTTCGCCCAGGGTTTCCAACTCCTCCCGCACCTCCATGGCCATCAGTCCAATTCTTTTCAAACTCTCTTGCTTCTTCTTAGACGTCACGCTGTCATGCTCGCGCAAACGCTGCAGCTTCTGATCGACTGCCAGATGTTGATTCTGCAAGTGCTGATAGGTCTTTTCCAATACTCTCTGCTCTTGTTCAAGAACTGCTAGCCGCTGCTCAAACTTACCAGAATCCATTCTTTTGCGCTACAACACAACAGCAGTCAAAGTTTCCGAATGGGCAAACATTCGGTCGTGTTTACTGACTCATACTGAGTCTGTGCTACAACACACCGGTAGAATATGTCAGAATAGAAGTCTCCCTCTTGCATGCAAGGTGGCGCTGTCCTGGTACTTGGTAGGTCTAAGAATCACTATTATCTAGTGACACAACAAGTGACAGTCGACTACAAAAGTCTGTCCTTCATTCGTGTCGTCGTCACCGGCCCATGGCAACCAGGGCCCGAGTCATAAAAACACCGCGTGGCGATATTGCTACTGCTCACTGACACCATGTATACCAACCCAATACCCGTCGTCACAAGACCAGAGACAGAGAAGGATAGCGGTAACTTCACCAGCGCATAAACGACTACGTATCTGCGACAATAACGATGTTGCCTTTAGCATGGTCCATTATCACTGCCACTGCTAGTAGGATTACGCCCACGGTCTGATGAAGGAAAGAAGACAAGCATGATTTACATTGGAGAAGAAAACCACGAACCGGTAACACACGAACAGTGTGTGGATATTCCCAAGTTCTCTAGTCAGGCATCGCTATCCATTAGATGTGTCAAATCCGAGATCTGGCGCTGAGTGTGATTACTGCACAATGCGGAAGGATTTTTGAGTTTCTAGACCAGCCATGCGGAAGTTTGATTTATGCTGATAGGCGCCAACCCCTGTCACTGTTCACCTTTGACTGTCGGTGTCTGATCTTGGTTTTTTCTAGGTACTTGCGTGATGGAAGAGAAGGCTCTGATCACGAGAATCTTCGCCTGGTTGAACGGCTGAAAATGAGAAGATGATGTGTGAGATTCTCGGTGGTGGGTGTTGTAGTGATTCTCCCAGGGCTGGGGGGGGGGGGGGGGGGGGGAGCCATCTCCACCATCGATGCATCGTCCAGGAAAACCTCTGTCCTCATTTACAGTAAACATGTACAGTCGTCTTGCATTTGTCACAAAAGCGAAAATTTCCAGATTGCCTAGACTAGAGATAGTAGAGTGCTCAAGACCGCAAGCAAGCATGGAGCAATAACACCAGGCATACATGTACTTGTCAAGTACATCATCATCATCATCATCATTGCTTGTACGTCCTACGATTACCACTGGACCGTATGCTTTATAGACTTTATATCCTTCTTTGGCTCCAAATCCAATAAGACACAATCGTCTGTTGCAACCAGGGAGTGGTATTGACTATTGTACTACTCCCTGGTTGCAACATACCTGTCAGTCTCTACAGTCATGACACATACCGGCAGTACTGATAGATGCATGCAGAGCTACTACTACTACTTGTACAAGTTGTAGTAGTACTAGTAGTAGTACATGTAGTAGTAGTAGTAGTAGTAGTAGTAGTAGTAGTAGTAGTAGTAGTAGTAGTAGTAGTAGATAGTACCTGACAGACATTTGCCCAACATTGCCCCATGATAATGAATTCTTGAGTTTTTGGACATTGTATTGCATTGCTGCTCCATCTACATGGCTGTATTTGTGTTTCACATCTCCATTTCAAGTTTCCTAATAAAGATTGTGTCAAGTAGTAGTAGTAGTAGTACCGGTAGTAGTAGTAGTATGAGGTGATTTGGCCATTTTTAACCGTCATGGTTGTAAAATGACGTTTTTTCATTCACTTCTAGACAAGCTACGTCCAAATGAATTGTTGCAAGTGGAAGTGCTATCCTTCATGCCCGTTGTGTCCAAAAATGGGAATGATCCCACTTTGGAAAGTGTCTTGAATCATGTCCTACTTTCATAGTATTCTCAGGATTCAAATAATGGGTGTGTCTAGTAAGCAGACCGGGCAATGGCCTTGGAAATGATGCTCTATTTGAATTTTTTTCGGTGCAGAGGCATCTTGCCTGCCGTCTGGTGATGCAATGATGGGTGCCTTTCGGACTGGCGTATTATTATTATTATTTGCCTCTCCGCGTTTGCATCAGGGTGTGTTACTACATAAATCAACAAATCGACATACTACACATCCACCCCTAGCATTCGCTCAGGCCGCTCAACAAGTCAAAAGATAGTAAGGACAAGAGAAAGCGAGGGAAGGGTCACAGAGCAGCGGGGTCGAAGGCAGGAAAAAAGAAACAGGAGGCAAAGGATATTGAAGAAATATATCAGATTGTCCATTGAATTCACCATACATCATGTCATGTTCCGTTTGGCCAAATCCGGGCATTCCTCTGCAGGCTCAGGTGCGGAAAAGCTGCCGCCATACTGCTCTGTCCTCTGCCAGGTCCCTGATGTGTGAGAGATCTTTATCCGTCTGCAGCTTCATTCCCTTTGTTGCGAGGTCTGTTCTCAGTATTGTTGGGAGTGTGGAAGGCGGCCGGCCACGGAATTTTTTCTCGTCCTTTGTTTGCCGGAAGTATGATGTCATGGCCATTTGTGCTGGGGACTCCTTGTCCAGTCTGCAGATGTGACCGAGTAGTCGCATCCGAGCAGCTTTAACCAGGACAGTTAGGGGCTGTGTCTCTGTTCTGCGGTGGAGGTCATCGTTGCTGATTATCTGTGGGTAGCGGATACCCACAACAACTCTCAGGTGTCTCCGATATGTCGAGTCAAGAGTACACAGCTGAGAGTCTGAGAGGCCCCATGTGCCTGCGTTGTACATCAGCAGAGGCTTGATGAAGGCTTCGTAGAGCCTCACCCGTAGCTTTTCGGAGACCAGATGTCCGCGTGACCACAATGGCCACATCTTGTTGAATGTGCCCGAAGCAATCTGGATTCGGCGTGCGACATCCTCTTTGTCTCCAATAAGGGATCCAAGCTTGCGTGTGCGCCTCCACTCTTCCTCCACTCGGTCCTTCTTCCTCTGGATAGTAGTGCGTTCTGTTTTGGCTTGGTTAACTTTCAGGTCCCAGTCCGCGAGGCAGTCGCCAACAATAGGAAGGATCGAGTCCAGGTACTCAGAACTGGTGCTGACGAAGTCCACATCATCGGCATAACCTAGGGACGGCGGCAGGTTGAGGGTGATGTCTAGATTAGGTCGAGGTGGAATACAGGAGAAAACATGGCGCAGTGCAGTCTCGAGGTAGATGATGAATAACACGGGTGACAGCGAGTCACCTTGTGGGGTGCCAGATGTTGTTGCAAATGGTCGGCTTTGGGTATTTTTGATGCGTGCTGATAGTGTTGTATCTGAAACCA